CTCGCCGGCCCGGTGGCCCGCAACGGCCGGGAGGAGCAGGAAGGGCGGCCGCAGTCTCACTCACCTCTCCGCCATGTTCCCGTCGCTCCTTTTACAGCCAGCTCACAGTAAAATCCACACCGTCTCCCATGTTGCCCGAATTGCGGTCGCCGCAGTCTACGAGTCACCCGCTGCCACACCAGTGTCGAACCAACAGTGATGATACAATGTACTTCCTATTAAGATCTCCACAATAAAAGCCTCTAATATGTAGCGCAAAAGTGATCGTTCTTGGAATTCAGTCTTAAAACGAGACACGAGATGAGGATGAAGAAAATGTGATTTTATCGTTTCAGTGAGTGTTCTTTGGGAGTAATACATTGATCAGTTGTTTCTTAGCCATAATTGAAAGCCTAACCAGCAAACGGATATCAAACATCCTAAAACAAAGGATGTCTGATTCGAATAACAAAATCATGTTATGACAGGTCTAACTATTCACTTCACACTTTTAACAATTGGGGTTTAATACTTAAGATTTAATATCAGAGTTAACATTACACACATAAACACATAAACTGGGTTATGTGTTTGGATTTATGTCCATCAGATTGGTTGAGCTGCTAAAACTGTAAGAACATTCAAGAAAATGTCGATTTAAATGCATAATTGTTTTCACTTACATCTGCAAAGCATTAAATGTGGGGAATCAGTCAGAATTGTTTATTTTCTTTCATCACTTCATCACTAAATATTGTATATATTATTACTGTATTATTAACTCTCTGAGCAAATTATATATTTTCATTTTCAACAGAAGCCTCTACAACATGGTGGCCAAACTGTGTGCAATTGTTATTTCTTAAATAATTTAAATCTTGTTTATTCAATACATTATTGAAAGTAATAAAGAGAGGGTACTACGGTAGGCAAAGAATTGATGGTCAAAACACTGGTTTGAAGTGTGGGATCGGAATAATTACTAAAACAAAACTTTTTCTCTGAAAGTTACATTTTATAACTTCCGGTATAGTATGATCATACCGACGTTAACTTAACGAATGAAGGGAAAGGAGTAGGCTGCTGCTGGTTCCAGGTGGAGATGCGCTGTAAATGAAAAGGGCAGGAGACACATTGACCACACGTGTCAGCACTTTTATTGATTTATTTTCGCTGTCGGTGTGCGTGTGTGTGCATGCGCACACACGCACACACGCTGCGCTTCTTTAAGGATGGCATCTTTTTAGACATACACGTCCACGGACTCCAGCTCAGAGCCAGTCGTAGAAAAAGCAGCCGGGAGAAATGTCATGCAGGGCGCGCCAAGACTTGGGGAAAAAATTGAATTTTACCATTTTTATATTGAAACTAGTGACTACCATACAACTAATAGGAAAGCTGATTTTAAAAAAAAAAACTCTAATCCCTCTTCCCCCCACCTCCTTCTTCCATCTGATTAGTCTGTATCCGCTCTGGGGGAGGGTCCAGTTTCCTGACACGAGACCAAACGAACCACACTCAGTGCCATCTAGACCAGGTGAACTGACCAGGTGTCCCGCATTTGTTCAATTGCTCAATATTTGGACATGTTTTTGGGTCGTCCCTCAAAGGGACATATTAGTTGACTTAACTGAATGTGTCGTTGCCATCATGCAGTTATTGCAGTAACAGTTGTTGCAGTTGTAGGGGCCCTTGCAGTCCGTCAGTCTTGTTGACGCAGCCCTTGTGGTCAGATGCCGTCAGTGCATCCTTGCTCAGTGAGGTCAGTAGTAGTTGCGGTTGGCAGGGTTAATGTGGGCGAATCTATGTGAACATATGAAAACTTCAGAAGCTTCATTCACATATACCTCCTCTAACTGCACGGTATAGATGTAAGTAGTAAATACTGTATGATACAGATGTGTATTTATGTTTTTTAATGCTGAATATGTTGAATATTAAAAGTCTATGGAGCACGTTGTGAATACATTTACCTGTAGTTACAAGTGATCCTGTGACAAACAAACTGATCCTGTGACAAATTAAAACTTTTGAATTTTGAACCTTGCTAATACCTTGGACATTTACATAAAACATATAGTCTGTTTCTGCAGTGGAATTAACAAATACACCAAAATCATATTTTGAATATTTTAAGACAGGTTTGATTTTTTTTTTCTTCACTGTTTTGTCCACTGTGTTGTAATTTACCACTGGTACAACTAATTCATATATTTAGTCCTGTGACTGGGGCATGAACACTGTGCTGTGTGGGGCTGTTCTAGATGTTCTGTTCCTTCTTCTTGCCTTAATTCATTACTATGTGTCTGTTTACTTTGGCCGCTGTGAAACTGAGGGGCGGCACGTGTCACAGTTTTTGTTGTAACAGAAGAAACAAACACCTGAGGGCCACTATCAGCCACACCTTTTATAAATAACCTGAGTGAGACAGTAGAATCTGCAGCTTGGTAACAGCCTTAGAACAGCTGCAGGCTAAAGAGAAGTAGAAGAAGAAGAAGCTGATGCTGACACTGACTTCCCCCATCCATGTTATTCACTGTGCAATCACCTTACCCCTGCCTTAAAGGGCTAATTCAGGTTTGTTGAGTTGTGGTTGAACAGACTGAGATACTGATACACAGTCAGGGCCCACAGTATTGTCCATGCCCCCTAGCTTATCCTCTGGGAATTCTCAGGATAATGATATTTGTTCACAATAAATAATGATGGCTGCCAACAGGGACAGGACACGTCACCTGCATGGTTCTCAGCATAAAGAAAACATGTTCACTGTTTTATCTAACAGCTCTACTGTGTAGTACTCACCCACAGAAACACAAAAATAAATATTTTAAATGGCATGGACACAGCTGCTGCTGCTGCTCTGTCTTCTGGTGTATTTAAGTAATGTCTTTGAGGAACAGATTACAAACATACATCTGTCAATGACACATTTGAGCTGACAGTGGGATCAAATCTTTTTTCTTCTACACTAAAGAATTATGATCATTGTCAGTGTCCTGAGGATCGTGTAGACATTGGTATTATTTAGATATATAAGCTATATTGCATATTAAAAACACTGTAGTACCTTTTCCTTGTGTCACCAGCATTTCACTACGAGCATATTTTATACTTGTATAAAAAATACTCTGAACTTATACCACAAATAAAAGTCAACCAACGTACATTGTTTACTTTAATTCTGTGGAACTTTGCTACACTTTAAAAAAAACTTAAAGCTTCTGTTTATCAAAGCACTCAGCGTATTTTATTTGACAACATGTAAAAGAAGAAATGTAATTGTTTTATTTAAGAGAATTATAATTCGTTAAACATATTTGAGGGGAAATCACAGACTGTGGGGACTCTTTGTGGTTACTGTTGGTACTGCTGCCTGATTAAACCCCTAAATATGACTTTTATTCCATAACCCTACTCCCTGGTAGAGTGGTCTCTACTTTGACAGATGCAGAGGTTTGTTCGATGTTTTGTTTGTTGTTATTTGTCAAAAGGCATAACATGTAGGGTGGATGACAAAAAATATGTTTTTTGTGCACGTTACTTTTTTACTTCTAAACTAAGTTAACTAACTCCTACTAACTATGTTGGTGTTGTCATGCTTAATTTATAAATAAGTTAGTTGTGTTTCTTTTTATAGCTTTTTGCTGTTTTGGGCGATTGTTTAGCATTTTCTGAGCTCAATTACATTTACCTCTATGTTACTAAACTTTAGCTTTCAGGACTAACTGACTATGCTGTATGTTTCTATGCCTCTACTATTATAGAAAAATACAACATGTTCAATAACAATGGCGTCAATTTGCTAATAGTTTAGAATATAGTGTAAAAATGGAATCTTTACTACTTTCATTGTTTTTTTAAGTGTTTCCTGAACGCAACACAAGCCATACGTATCAATGAAATACCGGAAGAGTCCTTGTAATCTCCGCCCATTCTTCTCCGAAAACGTCCGATTTTATCCGAGCCGTTTCCGAAAAGTAACTCGTGGTCTCATTTCATTGGCGGGTAGCTGGTCCAATCACTTGCGGCCATCTGTGCAGGACTGGCTGCAGTCAGTGGCTGTTCTCGGATTACGTTTCCTCCGGTCTTTATTAGCTGGCCGCTCCTCGCTTCTGCCCTCTTCACCTCCGCCCGGTACCGGACAGCAGCTGCAGCAACCACCGCCGACATGAAGCTTCCCTTGGCCGTTGTGGTTGTTTTGGTCTGCATAGCTGTGACCATTGACGCCACCGTGTATTTCAGCGAGAAATTCGACGATGGAGGTAAAGTACAGACGAACCTACTGCCCTATAACTGTGTTTCTGTCAGTGACAGCGGCTGCTTCTGCTAAGTAACGTAATGAATACGTTTTTTGTTTAAACATGGAGTATATTAAGGAAATAATTAATTTAAAAATAACTTTACGGTTTGTCATCATGCAACCGTTGAAAGGCCCTGTGCACATATGTATATATATTTGCCCAGTGGTGAGACGTTGGCTCAACTCAAACCAGAAGTAGCCAAAAAGCTCCGACAAGGAAACCTCGTTTTCAAACTAAACGTTTGTCTTAAATGTGTTTTGTTAATAATTCATACGTTAACTTCCTTTGTTTCAGTCCACAGATGCTTTCACTTTTCTTATCGCACTGCCTGCACGTTTACGTGCCTTCACACGTTTCCTCAGTGAGCTAAAGTAGCTAGAATTAAAATTAACTTCTCAAACGATGGGAATCCGACCTAAGACAAACCATATGCAATCAGGGCTAGTACAAGAAAATATAATGTTAAGTTGAACCAGTCTGTCAACGAGTCAAGGTCGCCAAAAACACAAATTTCTGGTCTACTTGACTGAAATGCGTGACTGAGTTCCTGGAACTGTACTTGTTCAAGTGCCTGTAGAGGAAGTGCTTCTTAAGATCCATGTTGCTGCACACATTTGTGTAACACTACAGACCAGGCACTGACTAACCAGTTTGGTCACTGTGTTCCAGATGCATGGACGAGTCGCTGGGTCCAGTCAAAACACAAGTCCGACTATGGCGAATGGAAACTGACTGCTGGAAAGTTCTACGGAGATGCTGAAGCTGATAAAGGTGATGAAGACACAATATAGGATTTGGTCAAAATTGACATAGTAAAAATAAATCAATAAAAAGATTACATGCTCAAAAATAAAAACACATGGATTTGGAACGTCTCACTCATAACATCTTCTCACCCCTGTAGGTGTCCAGACCAGCCAGGATGCTCGCTTTTACGCCATGTCATCCCGCTTTGACTCTTTCAGCAATGAGGGGAAGCCCGTGGTCATCCAGTTTACTGTCAAACATGAGCAGAAGATCGACTGTGGTGGTGGATACGTCAAGGTGTTCCCCTCTGACCTAGATCAGACTGACATGCATGGAGACTCGCAGTATTACATCATGTTTGGTGGGGATCTTGTTCATTGTCAAATTCCGTTGTTTAAATTTTTAAAACCAAACTTCACTATAAATACTCAAACATTAACTTAACGAACATCCCCAGGCCCTGACATCTGTGGCTACAGCACCAAGAAGGTTCATGTCATCTTCAACTACAAGGGTCAGAACCACCTTGTCAAGAAAGACATCAAATGCAAGGTACAGTAGATCTGGGCTTTTGTCTTTTTGTTTAACATTACTATTTTTGTTTTTTATTTAAATTCACTATTATCCACCTCTCTACAGGACGATGAACTGACCCACCTGTACACACTGATTCTAAACCCAGACCAGACCTACGAGGTGAGGATCGACAATGAGAAAGTGGAGTCTGGGTCTCTGGAGGATGACTGGGACATGCTGCCTGCAAAAACGATCAAGGATCCTGAGGCCAAGAAGCCTAGTGACTGGGATGACAGATCCCAGATCGATGACCCCACTGACACCAAACCTGAGGTAGGAAACAAATTTAAGTCATTAATAGGGAACTGTACTTGACTAAATAACACTTCAGATTCTACCAAAGTTGATTTTATCAGAATTACCCCCCTTGTTAAAATATTTTCTGGACTACTTACTAAAAATAAATTAATGAATAAACCTCATGGCCACTCGGAGTAAAAGTACTTCTATTAGTACCACTATTCAGATAAAGTCCAATTCCTTTTTTTGGGTACACGTGTAATGAAATACTGTTGTTAATAATTGTGGTTGCTGTTTTGTTCCAGGACTGGGACAAGCCAGAGACCATTCCAGACCCTGATGCCAAGAAGCCTGATGACTGGGAAGACGACATGGACGGAGAATGGGAACCTCCCATGATCACCAACCCTGAATACAAGGTGAGTCACTAAGTGATAATAATGCCCAATCCAAATCTTGTAATTTTTGTCTAATAATACTCCAAGTCTGCTTATAAGTACCAGCAGTCGTCAGTTTAAATCCCATGTAATTTTATCTTATACTATGTGGCGTTGTGTCTGCAGGGAGAATGGAAACCCAAACTTATTGAAAACCCAGATTACAAGGGAGCCTGGGTTCACCCTGAGATTGATAATCCAGAGTACACTCATGATGCCACAATGTACAAGTTTGACAGCATTGGAGTTCTTGGTCTGGACCTGTGGCAGGTAATGATCTGTACCCATTTCCTAAAGCCCTGGGCTTCTGGTTAAAGCTCAACACTAGGTTCACTTTGTTGCCATTTATCCACCCTCTGCTTTGTTACTGGGTGTGTTTTTGTAGCGCATGAAGATGCATGCTCCGATTTCTGAAACATAGCATTACTATTGGAAATAGTGGGGGCACTGCACACACGTACAGTGATAATCTTGGCCATTGACTGAAGTCTTTGTTGTGTTTCCTTAGGTAAAATCTGGAACAATCTTCGACAACTTCATAATCACAGATGATGTAAAAGAAGCTGAGGACTTTGGCAAGGAAACATGGGGAGTCACAAAGGTAAGACTCGACACTGCGGCCGTCACTGTGTACAAAAAAGACAGAAGTCTGTTGAAAATACCGTGCAATAGGTGCAGATCTCCATCTGTCTCTTCTTGACAAGAATGTTGGTCCATGTTTTATAAACTCTGTTCCCACCATAGGGACCAGAGAAGAAGATGAAGGAGGAACAGGAGGACATGGAGAGGAAGCTGAGAGAGGAGGAGGAAAAGAGCAAAAAGAAGGATGATGAAGATGAAAATGATGAGGAAGACGATGAAGATGAGGAGGGTAATGAGGAAGATGAAGCGGAGCAGGGGGAGGAGGTAGAGGAGGACGCAGGAACAGAAGAGGAGGACACTAAACACAAGGATGAGTTGTAGAGTTGAGGAGCTGGTTGCTGGACTGCTGCTTTCTTCTTCTACTCTCCAGATTTCATTTGAAGATGATAGGAAGTTAGCGAGATGCCCTTTGGACTCTTTGATACGACAGCCTTTAAATCCAGGGCAGGGAAGCGGGGCAGATCAGATTTATTTTATAATGTGTTTTCTTGTTGCTTTCTGTTCTAGAAGGAAAAAGGGTTTAGTTGTTTATTTCCCCCTCTGTTTCTGTTGAATTTTCTAATTGAACATTTGTTTAACTCAGTCAATCCCATGATGTGTTTTCTTCCTGCAGTTACTTAAGAGATTTTTTTTGTTTGTTTTTCACAATGTTCTGTAAATCCAGGATGTGTGATATCTGGTTCATGCACTTTTTTTCTTCTCTCCTTTGTCATGCAGTTCTGTATTTTTTTAAAAATCAGTTGCCTTAATAATTTATTTTAATCATCATAAGTTTCCCTTAAAAAAATAAATAATGGGTGTGAGTTCGTCTGTGTGAGTGTGAGACTGCAGAAAACAAACTGTGATTTTTTTTTTAAACAATCCTTGTTTTTTTCACTCTTGTTTTCAGTGAGTGACTGTCCGGTCCGTGCACACAATTTTGAGTTAATGTGAATAAACTGAAGCTTCTTCGATTCTCCCTTTCCCCCCCAAAGTAGTTGTGATTCATTTATGATTAACATGTTTCAAAATTGCTATTATTCTCCTGTGTAAATATAATATGTTATTTTGTTTAACTTGTCATATTAGAAAAGTTAATTAATTTTATAAAACCAAAGTATTGCCAAATTAATACATGACAATGAAGTTGGCTGAAGGGCAAAAGTAAGGAAACCAAAAGAACAGCCAACAAAAAAAGCAACAGGCAATGTCAAATTCAGAGAAATGCTATACAAATGGCCAACGGTTAGTTAATAAAACAAGTGCATTGTAAATAATGCAACAAATTAGCCAAAAAAAAAAAACTAGAAAAGTATAGAGGACGTAGCTAGGAAATAGCCAAAACGCCAAATCTAATAATACCCTTAGTTACATATACCTACATACAATCCAAAAACAATTTTTAATGGTGTCAAATACATAATTAAAATAAAGAACCAATTTATCAGATATGCTATCAAAAATTATATTAGGAAATATTTAACCTTGTAAATTATATTACACGAAATACTAAATCGTTTCAAATAATTGAAGTAGAACAGTTTTAGCTGCACAAACAGTCATCGTTCGACCACTACTCGGTCCTTCGGGTTTCTCATCCTATTTGTACGGTTAATATTTAATATTAATAAAACTAACAATCTCCATCGCCTGGAGAGAAAGTTCCAACGGCCCTTGAACACAACAGCAATGTTGTGCATCATTTCCAGCGACAGATGGCGACCTTGCGCGGGCCTTCTGCCTACTGCGCCCCGCCGCACCGAGACAGCTGAGTCACACTCAGAGACAGAAACAGTGAGTGAGAAACATTACAGCGGCTCCAGTCGAGAAACAGTCGTGACCGCATTAAAGTAAAGTGTGGCCCCCGCTGCCCACCGACAGCACTACGCATCATGCTGACGATAACGCTGAAGACGCTCCAGCAGCAGACGTTTAAGATAGAGATCGACCCAGAAGCGATGGTGAGTAAAAAAAGTAGTTAACGGGGCTGGAGTAAACACAGTGAGGCCGCCGGGAGCCGCGCTACTATCGCTGCCGCTAGTGACTCATATTAGCTTACATTCAGACACGGCACATTGCATATGGTGACGACTTTGAAGCCTGTCTGTCGGCGCTGGTTTCTTCCTTTTAGTGTATACAATAAATGAGCTTGTACTTAAACGTTACACATACAGTGACTGACAAGTTTATTGTTTGGGTAGCTTCTTACAGTACGGTAGTTCATGCGAGGTAATATGGCAGCATGTCATTCCGTCAGACCGGAATTAAACGTGTTTTCTTTCAAAGTAATGGTCACATGGATTTAAGTCAATCCCCTACATGATAAGTTCATCGAAGTTGCAGCAAAATAAAAGTAAAACTAAATAAGATCGTTATTAGCATTAACATAGCAAACTTAATTGTCCTGGTACTGCTCTTTGGTCGCTCCGGCGTTTTACTTTGAAACGGAAAAGCGGAAGCGTTTGTACTGCGCTCTATCTAGACGTTGTTCTTGTTTTACTCTAACCATGAATGACGGTGCAATATTTGAAATCTCCTGTTTTCTGGATCTAGTGTGAACCACTGCAGTTAAACTGTTTTATATTATGCTATTGTATATATTAGTATACTCGAAGAGAAAATACTCTTCTGAAGCCTGTGCTTCAAAAAGTATACATTGGACTTTTTATTCCAACAGAACGAGCCCATTTTTGTTTTTATTTACACCAGGAGTGGGACAGTTTTAATGAGGCAGCCATATTGGATCACCATTTTCCATTATTATGCTGCCCACAAATTGGACATTTTGACATTTTAGGTTGGAGGTATATGCCTGAAGTGGTATGAGACCAACTCATGGAGTTAAAATTCATATCTCACCACCCCCCAAAAAAACAGGAACAAGGAGCTTATTTTGGTGCAGGGTGAGGCCCTTGACAAATACCAGATGTGCTCACCAGGTGACAGAAGTGTATTTGATTTTTTTTGTTTCAGTGAGCATCTGGTTGATATTAGATTATTGTGTGTCAACATTTGTTAGGTGAAAGCCCTTAAAGAGAAAATAGAGGAGGAAAGAGGAAAAGATGCATTTCCTGCTGCTGGACAAAAACTCATCTATGCAGGTGAGACAAAGAACTTTTAATACCCTTATAAAATTCAACACGAAAAAAAACAAACAAAACAAAAACCAAACAAGATTATGTGGAGGTTTATTTGACTGATCATTCAGTTTACAATATGCAGAAATTTCAACAAATGCTAGTTGGCATCTACTTGACCTTAAAGTGACAGTGTTATCATCTATCTTGTTTTGTCCATTACATTAAATTATCTAGTCGCATTGTAGTAAACAAATAAGAACACATTACATTTAAAGGTTTCATTTGGGTTTTTAATTAAATGTCTCGTCTCGTTTTTCATTTTTTGTTAAACAGGAAAAATCTTGAATGACGACTCTCTGCTCAAAGACTACAAAATAGATGAAAAGAATTTTGTGGTGGTCATGGTAACCAAGGTCAGTGTATACTACTTTATGAATATCACTGCTCTGCATCTCTGTGGTGGTGAATGCACAGGGTATTGATTATGTTGATGTGTTTGGACTTCAGTTGTTAGAACCAGAGTTTATTCATTTAAACTTGCTTGTTAAATAATTTCTGTGTAATCCTTTTCTGGTGTAATTAGGTATTGTGTCCAGACTCAATGTTGGCCAATGACTAACTGTCAAACTTTTTCTCAGCCTAAGGCAGCTCCTGCTCCAAAGGCAGCTCCCCAGCCAAACCCTGAGCCTGTTGCAGCTTCAGCACCAGCCTCCACCACAGCATCAGCCTCAGGTCCGGCACAGGCGGCTGCCACCACCACACAAACGGAGTCTGCACCCACACCTGCTCCACAGACTGTGCCTCTCTCTGAATCCCCATCTTCATCCCCAGTCCCAGAAAAATCAACCCCAGCTCCTTCAGAAGCAGCGCCAATGTCAACAGCAGCAGCTGTAGATCCAGACTCAAGTGGAGCCTCAGATCCAGCCCCAGATGCTGCTGCTGCTGCTCCTCCAGCATCTGCTGCTGCCCTAGCCCCTGAATCTGTTCAGACGGCCTCATTTGCTTCAGACACCCCGACTACGACTTCACAGCCAGAAGACAAACCCCGGGAAACCTCTGACAGTCAGCCCCCAGAACCGGAGCACTCTTCTGCTTCCAGGTCAGAGGACATATTCTGATTCAAGCAGCAAAACTCTTGACTGTTGTGTAGCCTCACTGTGCTTATATTGAGTCTAGCCTGATGTTTTGACGTCTTCTTTATCTCTTTTCCTGTCTCTCAGCCTTGTTGATGAACTAGGACTTCTTGAAGAAGCAGCATCAATACTGGGTAATGCTTTTTTTTGCAAACTTTTCTCACCCCACCTTTTTTCAACAATCACAGAAGTGTGACCATATATATTATATGTATGGTCGGGCAGAGGATAGTTTAAATTTGACCTTCCAAAATTATTTTGAAATATGTCCAAGATTGTCTAATGTAGTTAACACACATGATCTAGCATAGTGTGAAAATGTTTGATGGTAGTTTGCTGTTTTGTTGTTAGCAAGCAAACCAAATAACTGTACTGTGTGGACAGTGTTTCAAGCCTAAGAGTGGATTTCAAATTTAATGAAAGTGATTATAAATATGCTTCAGACTACCTAAAGCAGTAACCACATCTACCAGCAGGGGGAGGCTGAGCTCAGCTGTACTTTGGATGTCCAATAGACCAAAGGTCCCCAACCTTTTTCCGTGCCACGGACTGGTTAAATGTCTGAAATCTTTTTCATGGACCGGCCTTTAAGGTGTGAGGGATGAATACAACTAAATACATTTTTATAAATAAAACATTGTTCAGTCTCAGATAATAAATAAAACGGAAATGATCTAAGTTATGCATTCTTTCTGTGCTACCCGGTACCGATTCTGGTCTGCAGCTCAGGGGTTGAGAACCACTGCAATAGACCTAATTGTAAGAGAGAACAGAGACGCCCACTTGTTGCGTTTCTGATCCTCCTTAATCGACTCACAACAACTTCAAACGTATCAAACGTAGTTCCTTTAAAGGATGTTTTCTCTGTTCATTTAATACACTTTTAATTGGTGGTGTTAAACGTTTGTCCCTGCCATGCTGTGTCCACAGTGACCGGTGCAGCCTACGAAAACCTGGTGGCAGAGATCATGTCCATTGGTTACGAGCGGGAGCAGGTGGTGGCTGCGCTTAGGGCCAGTTACAACAACCCAGACCGAGCCGTGGAGTACCTCCTCATGGTGAGACTCGCTGTGACCAGCTGTGCTCTCAGCTCTGCTCCTCTCAGCTGTATGTGCAGTAACTGTTTATGTCCTGCAGGGGATTCCAGCAGAGGCCAGTGGTCTGCCCCCCCAGGAGCCAGTAAGACCCACTGCTCCTTCAAATCCTCCAAACCCTAGTACTACTACTACTACTACTACTACCACCAATACTACCACTACTGCACAGCAGCAGCCCCAGCAGCAGCCCCCTGCTGCCCCCAACAGTAAGAATATTTGTCTCTTGTCACATGTTGCGTTTACAAGGTGCAAAACATGTTAGCAGTTATAAATTGTGAGAAATTTCAGTAGCTGACATTAAGCAAAATTTATATCCAAATACAGTGGTAGCTCAGTTGTCGAACGCCTCCCTTTTCGAACAGTTTGGTTCACGAACAAAATATTTAACCAAAAATTCGTTATGTTATTATGTTATGTCTAATTTCTGTAGAAAGTTTGACCAAAACTGAGCAGATTCTAAAATCTGGAACTGAATAGTGAGTTTGAACCTTCCCTTTTGTCCTCTGCAGCGGGGTCTGTGCCAGCCTCCCAGCCTCCCTCTGCCGGTGGAGGCTCTGCTCCTCCTACGGGGAACCCTCTGGAGTTCCTGAGGAACCAGCCACAGTTCCAGCAGATGAGACAGATCATCCAGCAAAACCCGGCTCTTCTACCGGCCCTGCTGCAGCAGCTCGGCAGAGACAACCCACAGCTGCTGCAGGTACAGAACCAGCACCACCCACAGTGTACAGGTGAAGCAACTCCTCCGAGTGACTCCGTGCCTTCTGTTGCAGCAAATCACGCAGCACCAGGAGCAGTTTGTACAGATGCTGAATGAGCCCCGACCCGGAGACACAGGTGGAGACACGGGTGGAGAGGGGGCCGAGGCCGAGGCCGAGGCCCAGGGTTCACCACAGACTAACTACATCCAGGTCACCCCACAGGAGAAGGAGGCCATAGAGAGGGTCAGAGTCTTTTTATCTTCTGTTCAGTAATTTAGAATTGATTGTACTGGCAATATGAAATATGTGAAATGGAGTTTTTTTTAAAAACTGTAGGAAAACTGTGAGTACAGTAAACACACAATGATGTTACATGCTTAACATCAAGTTACTAAAATTGGAACAGAGTTTCTTACGCTTCTATTAAAAACACACAAACATAAACCAGGACCATTCAGGTTTTAGAGACTTAATGTACATTTCTGTGGTTGAAGACTAAATATAAAAAAAATATAAATATATATAAATATATAAATGTAAGATTTTGACAGTGTAATAGTTGGAGTAATGGTTTAAGTCGTAATGTTTACGACGTGGTTAATGCTCCAGGGAATGCACAATGTTAACATTCGTGTGTGTGTGTGTGTGTGTGTGTGTGTGCGCGCGCACAGTTAAAAGCACTGGGCTTCCCTGAAGGTTTAGTCATCCAGGCATATTTTGCCTGTGAGAAGAACGAGAATCTGGCTGCCAACTTCCTGCTACAGCAGACGTGGGATGACGAGTAGGCAAACATCACCTGACGCATCACTGTTGGACCGAGGGCCCTGTATTGGAAAACCGGGTTCAGGAGGAAAGGAGACATGAACAAGGGAAGGATGAACAACATTTTTTTCACACCATTTTGACTGTGGTCTGAAGGTGGAGGTGACGACATGGATTTGCTGTTAAAAGTGAGCTGCGCTGCCTGCTCTTCATTCTGCTGCTGAGAGGATGAGCTCCCACTGAGCTGTGTCCTCACTGCTGCCACATTACCGCCGCTGCTGCCGCTGATGCTCAGGCTGAGTCATCACACTGACAGAGGTCACATGACAGACACTGTTTGTGAGTGTGTATCACCTTCACACAGAACAACAGTGTGTCTGTGGTAAATATGTACAGCACGTGATTAGAACCCTTTTCTGTCTGACGTAACTGAGCATTACTGTGTTAAAATGTTTAAAAAAAGTGACAGGTCAGATTTTTGAAGAGTGGCTTTATGACAGGAAATCATTTCAAGACATTAAATCTGCGTAAAAAAAATCCATGTTAGGCCCCTCTTCAACAATCTCAGTAGAAGGCTGGAACTGTTCCAAAAACCAAATATGGAAGAGCAATGAGAAAGACCTCATACCTCATTTTTGAAATAACTTTGTTGTTTTCTCTTTTTTAATCTGATTGGACGTTTTCATCAGGTGACTTTTCTACAACAGCAGCTGAGATTATGTTGAGCATCTGTTCTTGTTCTCAAAATCCAGTCTACCAATCAGAAAAAGTTTTGAAAAACGTTGCCATATTTTCCTCTCTCTCTTTTGTTTTATTTCCTACCAGAAGTTAAAGATACTTTTATGTTCTAACAAACTAGGACTTCTTCACTGATCAGCAACAGGGACCGTTTATAACTGAATTTATCGTCTGAATTTGAACTTTCACTCTCATGTTTGAGCTTCAGATGACTCTTGACGACCCTGTTCCGTCAGTAAATGGCTAAATTCTATTTTTTGTGTTTCCTGTGAGAACTAATGTTTGCGTCGGTAGTCGGTTTAGTAGCTCAAACAGCCACACTTCAGAAAACATGACCTATCCCTTTAAAATTAAGGTACAGTAAATGTAGACTTTTATTTTGTTTGTTTTTTTTGTCCTGGGATGGGAAAACTGGTCACAATAATTTATTACTAAATTCTGTTGTCCAAACAAATACTACAACCATGAATTATTATTTTAAATACATTTACATTTTTAGACATAAAGATGTTTGTTGCGAACTCAATGTAATTTGGCCCTAAAATGTTTTTTTTTTTTATTTTGTCATGCCTTTGTAGTTATTCCCTGGGAGACTAGGGGTTATTATCTGACATTTAAAAATAATCAGAAAATTGGGACTGCCTTATATGAGCCTATTAACTTATGAAGGATGTAAAATGTGTATCTGTGTGTGTGCAGCGGTGGTGTGTCGTATGTGAGACCCGGTGCGCCCTCTCAGGCTTTTGTTGCTTCTGTTTGGGGTTTTTTTGGACATTAAGGAATGTGTTTTTGAAGTGCCACACTGCTGTGTACTCCCTCAGCTGTGTATTTCACTACTATAAGTATCCTTGTTAGTTTTCTCTCAGTATTTTCACAGACTCTGTTTTGATGCCAACGAAATTGGGTCCCCCATCAAATGCTGTACAAAGACCGTATATAAGAAGTGGATGTAGTGTAAGTGAACCCTCCCAAAACACAGCAAATATATATGCTTGTGTATATACAGTATATGTATATATGTGTATATATACATACACACGTATGTATGTGTGAAGCAACTTCCAAAATCTCAAGGTCACCTGTGCTCATGTCGGAGGCTTTGCTGTTTCCATCACACAGCTGTGTCCCTTTCTTATATCAGGTCTTTGTTCAAACCTCTCTTCTCTTCTATGCATTATGAAGCTGTCAGCTGATGCTACATCATGCCTTACTGGTAGAAAGCTTTTTTTTCTGTAGGTCTTACAGTTTACTGGAGTACTTTTGTTGTATTAACTTTACAGATGAGAAATTTTCATCACTGAACACCAGTCATCCACACTTGGACTAAAAAGGGAAATTTAGAAACAGAGCTGGAAGCCAAATTAAACAGACAGATGTTTATATTGACCATTAAGAGCATGTGCTTTGCTCCAGTTGCTTTTCTTCCTTTGGGTTCAACTGGAAACAATGGGGTGTGTCATCATTAAAAAAAAAAAAAATGTCAGGGGTATTTACCTGCAGGGGGCAGAGGCACTTTACTGTGACAGAAAAAATGCATATTGTTGGTTTGCATGGAGTGACCAGGTCACCAGTGTGATGTTTGCTCTGATCTTAGTTTGTCTGTTGTTTTGTTTTTTTGTTTGGGTTTATTCCTAAGAAAAGGATAATATTAGTATAACAGTGACATCATAATGACAAACTCCAGTGAAGTCAACGCTGGATAGATGTGAAGAAAAAAAAGTTTTGTTTCATCATTGTGTAAAATAAAGAGATTTTACAGAGTGGGTGAACTGAGGTGATGATTTATCCTGAATGATACAGGTGCAGATATCACATTTTCACTGTTGATGACCCAGGACAAACAGAAGACTAACGTAAGGAAGTCATTGGCTAAAAAAAACTGGACCCAGACACCACACGAGGCACAGATGAAGATTTCACCCCACACCTCCCTCCTGGATCATCACCATTACTAAGTGCAGACCAAGTACAGTACTGGTACTCAAACTTTCCATCAGTTGCACACCACCTTGTGATACACTTGTCACTCCGAGTACCAACAGTTTGACCATCATTTGAATACAGGTGTGAACCCTAATCTGCTCAAGGGTCCATGAAATATGAAACACCAGTATTGCTAAGCGACTCATAATTCTAACGGATCTCAGATTCCCGGTGCTATCACTAGAGGGAGCCCGAGTACCACCAGCGCTACATTGTATTAGTTTGAAAATCACTATTTTTAGTGGCTTAACGCAAATATTTAAAAAAAAAAATTTCTTGTGTCATTCTGAAACATGAATTATGTCTTAATCTTTCGGGTTTTTTGAAAAAAAAAAATAGACTAAAATATATATTATTAATTAATACCTGACCTCATTTGTAGTCCTGGTTTCAACTGAGGGAGAAAAGCACGATGTGTTCATTCTGTTTTAAACATACTGTACCTTTTAGAATTATGTAATTTTCTCAAGACCTTGAACTCGCCTTTGATGGTTGTTAAAATTTAGGGGGTGCGGCGGGGGGTGGGCTTCTGTATTTTTCATGATTGCTGAAGCCATCAGAGTTTTATAATGGTTTTCCACACCACTTTGCATCACTTTGGTTGCAGACCAAAGTGATCTACCTACATTGATAATATTTAATATATATTTAGCCATATGAGACAAATATACGTATATATACATTATATGTTGCCTAAATTCCTGCTNTTGGCTTGCAAACTTTTTGAGGAGGGCGGGATGCAGTTTTACCTGTGACCACCAGGGGGTAGCTGATCAGAAGGGGAGTGGGTGCGTTCCCGCAGCAACAGGGAAGATGGCAGCTCTCACATCACTCACCCAGGTAATGATGCAGCTTTTGTGGTTTACTCACTTCTACTGTGGACGCAATGAGCTATTTTGGGTGTTGGTCCTGTAGTTGTGTTTTTAAAAGTGTATTTAAAATGTTAAAGCACCTCTTAGCGAGTTGCAACAGAAAATGCAGCGGAGGCCCACTGCGGTTACATTACCGTTAGATAGCGGACTCGTTAGCCGAGGTTGCTTTTTGCTAAGCTAAGCTAAGCTATGGAGTTATTTCTCTACAAGCATAGCAAATACATGTTCGACTTTGTGGTAATGTAATGCTCACTTACGTTGACGTAAAAAGGGAGAGACTGACCCGCAGACATTTGTGTGACATAGAAGGAAAAAGTAATTGTGTTAGCGGTCAGAGCTAGTAGAGCTAGCAGAGCGTTAGCTTAGCTTTAGCCTGGACCATAGATACTGAACAGAGAGTGATGATGATGGAGAGAAGGCCACAGAACACACCGATAGATGACCACTTCATTAAAGCGACATCACTAATACTAGTGAATAAATAACATTCTTACATACACGAATGAATAGATGCATACTTTCATCTATAAATCTTAAGGGAACATTGGTTACTATTTACACGACTTAGAAGAAGAATAAAGCTGAAGGAAATTACATTTAGCTTGCTGGTAAATGCAATTAAATTAGCCAGTATAATGGAACTGAAAACAAAGAAGTCATTAATAAGGGAGCCTTGTATTGTATATGAAAACACTTACTGAAAGAAACATATTTAATTGTTGTTTCACAATCCAACTATATTTAATATCAGTAATGTTGTTTAACGTTGGGATTTTATTCCCGTTCAGATTTAATTTGTTTCTCTCTCACATGGGCATCGTATACCTAGTTGATTTTGGTCATATGTAACAGGTTATATTTTATATTTATTTATTTTATAGGTATATGTTGTTTCACTATCTGATTTGGTCTGACTTATTTCTGTGTAACCAAACATAATGGATCTAATGCTGACTATATACAATTCCAACATCAATCACTGCAATGAAAAAAAAAGAAATAAAAATAAACTCAAACAAATGTTGTTGTTCTGTCCTTCCTCTCTGCCCCAGTTGTCAAGTGGGAACCCTGTGTATGAAAGTTTTTACAGACAGGTAAGATGAATAAACAGATCAATGTTGCTGCATTATTACAAAATAAGAGAGATTAGGTTATATTAAAAGTAATTTGCTGTTGTCTCACTGGGTATTTAAGATAAAACAAATGGGGTTCACTAGAACATCTCTAGTCTTAAGCTATATCTTTCATTTCAAGACAATCCTAGCTTCCCACCGCATCAACATACTTAACTAGCTTAATCAAGGCTAACATAAACAGATAATAATAAATCACTCTTGAAATTAACCATTGTGCTTTGGGCTGTAAATCAATAATGTCTTGTGTCCAAAAAATGTGAACACAGCCAGATAATGTAATCACAATCAGAGATTCTGCTCATTGTCAGACTGATTTGAACAATCTGACTTTTGACACTGACTGTGACTTAAACGTTGTCATTGGCTCTCAACAAATCTAATATCACTCCTCCATGCAACCAAAACCCAAACTATTCTTTTAATCCAAAGCAAACCGTACACTTTGTGACAGCACTGAAACTTTGTTTCTGCTCCAAGGTTGATCCTGGAAACACGGGGAGAGTTGGACCAACAGAAGCTGCCTTGTTCCTAAAAAAGTCCGGACTACCAGACATTACACTGGGAAGGGTAAGCGGTAAATGCTCACCCAGACATGAGTGTGTGATTTATTTAACACTGCATTTATCTTATTTTATCTGATTTAATTTATTATATTATTATATTTTAAATATTGTTTTTGTTAATATCTTTTGATCAGTGGTTTGTAAGTGAAAGAGATCTGTTGGAGTTTAAATTTCACATTTTTAAAATGTGTGTAGAAGTTCTATTTTTTATTTTTTTAAAAAGGTCCATAGTTTCTCTTAAAATATTTGGTCTAGATTTCAATCAACTTCACCTCCTGTCTCTTTGTCAATTATATGACATGGACAAACACATTGAGTGCCATGTTTGTTTTCTTTGGGTGTAGAATTTCCTTTAAAGGTTAAAGAGTAAAATAATAAGAGAGCAGCCCTTTATTTAAGTCAAGCCAGTAGAGGGCAGGCTTGTCCTTCAGGAAATTTTGAGGCGCAAAGTAAATATCATCCTAATGTGAGGCAGTCAGGCAGTGCTTATTATAATCAGTGAAGAGTAAAATCTGCAGTGTTAGAGTTTTAAAAGACTAAGTAAACCTTTCTTGCTCTTTGTCTGCTTTGTCTTTGTCTTTGTTACAACCTAATAATTGCAGGGAAAAACAATGTTACAGCACACTTTTTTCTCTTTCAGATTTGGGATTTGGCCGACCCTGATGGAAAAGGCTACCTGGACAAACAGGTGATGGAAAGTTCCCTCCACTGCAGCTGAGTCAGGAACAGTTAATTACAGAATAATAACGTAGGAAAAAGCAATGCATCATTTTAATTACAACTTTCTCAGTCTCCTCATTCCTGGCAGTACACAAAACACCAGTATAGTTTTTTTGTCACTCGAACGACATCAGCATTTAATGCAGCTACAACAGTTCTGGGTCAGATAAACAGCCCACCAGATGACAGGCTTCAGAGCCAAAAGTCTGTTAAAGTTGAAATGTTGAAGATAATAGCTGTAATTGTCCTGTGGATTTACCAGTGTGACTTGACATTGATTCAATCCTCGGGCAAAATTACGATTTGAAAGATGATTCTGCCAGTTGTTTCCAATCTCTCCAAATTACAAAACCTTTTATTAATAAAATTTTTTTTAATGTCAGCCCACCATGTATGTCTTTGTGTTTTTGGTCACAATGATGCATTCACACCAATTGCTCTAGCTCCAACAGAAACCACCGTTAGCATCTGCAGAGAATCTGGATTTTTATTTCTACTTCAATATCGGTTTGTTTCTACATTTTTTCACTACTTTGTGTACTTATGTTATCTCTCTCTTTCTCACTCACTCACTAAGGGTTTTTATGTGGCTCTGCGGCTGGTGGCCTGTGCTCAGAGTGGACAGGAAGTCAGTCTGTCCAGCCTCAACCTCACAGTCCCTGCCCCCAAGTTTGTGAGTTTGGTTTCTGATATTAAGTCTGTGTGTATACCTTACATACCATAGTACTATATTAGTGTAGCCTTGGTTCTGGTGTAGTTTGTTCTTTGTTCTAAATATATCAACAGCTCAGTGATACAACAGACGTCTGTGTGTGTGTGTGTGTGATTACAGAAGGACACCAACAGTCCATCTCTGAGCAGTACAACTTCTGTCCCTACAGAATTACACTGGGCTGTCAGGGTACGTAATGCAGACACACACACGTTTTAATGAGATGTCGTCAAGTGAAAGTTATAGACCTGGTGGGCTTTAACGATACAGTTACACCAACACTTCATTGAACTGCACTGATCCAACCTACATGATTTTGTTCCTCTTGTAGCCAGAAGAGAAGAGTAAATTTGATGGAATCTTTGAAAGTTTGGCTCCTGTCAACGGCCTCCTGTCTGGTGACAAGGTGAAACCAGTCCTCATTAACTCCAAACTACCTCTGGACGTCCTCGGGAAGGTATTAATTCAACCTAATTAATGAGTACGGTCAGAGACTAAAACTCTATAATATAGTGAATTTCATGTGACTGTTAGGTTTGGGACCTGAGTGACATTGACAAAGATGGTCATCTGGACAGAGATGAGTTTGCAGTGGTGAGTTGTATCATCTTTTTTGGTGTTGGATGAAGTGAATGAATTGTTAAATGAACACCTGCTTGTCATGATGCCACTCTGTATGTGACGGCCTTCTGGTGTGCTCTCCAGGCCATGCACCTGGTCTACAGAGCCCTGGAGAAGGAGCCTGTCCCTGCACTCCTACCTTCTGCCCTCATCCCTCCGTCCAAGAGGAAGAAAAGCCTGGGCTCAGTGACGACCTCTGTGCCTGGACTCCCAGCCAGTCCTCCACCTCCAAAAGACTCGTTGCGCTCCACCCCCTCCCACGGCAGCATGAACTCCCTCAACAGCACAGGCAGTCTGTCACCCAAACACACACTCAAGTCTGGACAGGTACATTTGGGCATCATCCATGATTTTCTTTCTTTTTTTTCTTTTTACCAAGAGAGAGAACACAGCATCTCATGTTGTCTTTTCTCTCCGTGACAGCACACATTGAACTGGGTCGTCCCGGCATCAGACCGCAGTCGCTATGATGACATCTTCCTGAAGACAGACGCGGACATGGATGGTTTCGTGAGTGGACATGAAGTGAAAGACATCTTCATGCAGTCTGGACTTGCTCAGAATGTCCTTGCCCATATATGGTAGGCGTTAAATCTGGCTCTCATCCATGCTTCATTGATAAACATCTGAGTCTGATGTATGTTGTATTCAATAATACTTTTCTAAGTTAGTCTCCTGTGTCTCGTGTCCTCTGTGTCCTGCAGGGCTCTGGCCGACACACGGCAGATTGGAAAACTGACCAGGGAACAGTTTTCTCTGGCTATGCATCTCATCCAACAGAAAGTCAGCAAAGGTCTCGACCCTCCACAGGCTCTGACTGCTGACATGATCCCGCCCTCAGAGAGAGGAACCCCTGTACCAGTAGGTCTTTCTTTATCACACACAGATACACACATACACTGATCAATTAAATCTGTCTGTGACTCATAACATGTAAATTGCACAAATTGTGAGTGAAAGTGCTTTATACATGTGTTTCTGTTGCCTCCCTGTCTTCAATTGACAATATTGAAGCACAGCTCTGCTTTCCATGACCCATGGGTTTGTGAATTGTTGGCTCATCCCTAAGAGTACCTGTAGTCTGAGAGTCCGCCCCTTGTTTCCCTACTGAATCAATGCTGTAATCTCTAATCTCTACTCGTAGATTTAGTCTTTTCTTGCTTTATCTCACATTTCTTCTCTTGAAAGCATGGTGTATCACTAACATCAGATGACAAAAAGGAAAAAAAATCTACCCGTTATTGAACAAAGAGAGTTCAGTGTCTTTGTTCAGCGACTGCTGCTGTTTTCCTGCTGGCTCTCAGTAACTGAGTGCTTTCCTCTGTGGCTGTAGAACATGTCTGGATACATGACTCCAGTGGGCTCAGAAATGGCTGCTCTGTCTGATATGAGAAGGGTGAGTCATGTTACCGTTGGCATGTTTGCTTATTAAAGTATTGAGTTTTTTTGCTACAAACTTCTTTCTTCTGACCTGTTTTTACCAGTGGGATTGTTTTTCTTGTCTTTTATCACATTTGTTCTGCCACCTGTTTTCTGTCTCATTTTAACCTGTGCTGCTAATGTTTCCTCCCCCCCCTCGGTTTTCAGGCAATGATGTTGAAGTTGTGGGTAGGTAAAAAGGACCTACAGCATATGAACCCGTAAATGGTTTCAGTTGCTGCCGGTCAGACTGCAAACATTTACAGAAGTAATTCTCTCCTGGTCCCACTAGTTCACTGCAGTGACAGTGTCTCAAGATGACAGGCAGACACTTGTACTATTCCAATTTTAGCACATCTGATTTGACCCACATCCTCCTCCTTTCATTATGTCCACCATTTAATCAGATTAAAGTGGGCTGAAACTAAAGTGGTTTCATTTTAACCAGATCTGATGAGTGTTATTTGTAGCTTTGCACTACTGTCAAATATGGAATAGAAGTTTGTAAAAATATTTGCAAATACACAACCATAAGTTAAAGGAATATCAGCACAGTATCAGAACTTTTTTTTTTTTTAATTTTGTTCAGACAACGATAACAACAGCAACAAAAAAAACACTACACAGTCCTCAATCTGTCCCTCCTGTGACAGCAGTGGTGACACCCCCTCACCTGTGTATATTGGTGGTTGGCCCAGCCCCCACAGTCATAATTCACCCTCTCTCTTCTTCTTGCCCACTGATTTTTTTTCCCCCCATCCTCTGACCTCTTGGACCTTGGCTGTGTTATTTTGACTAACTTTCTCCTAACTTCCCTTTGTTTTCGTCTCTTATCCATCTTACCCCTGTCCTCTTGTTCTCCCTCATCTACAGGACAGCTCCAGTTCAGTTGGTTCAGGGGAGTTCACAGGCATCAAAGAGTTGGATGATATCAGCCAGGAAATTACACAATTACAAAGGTACTGCCTTTTACTCTTGAGCATCGTTATAAAGTGGAAGTCGATTATGTCTGTTCTACATCAAATCAATTATTAAAACACATTCACAAAAACACATTCAATAGTGATGTCACACACAGACATATAAGGTACAGTCTGGAGTTGATTTCTGTTAAAAAGTGAGTTGTCAAACATTCTCTTGATTTATTTGTTTCCTCATCTTCACCCTGATTGTTTTCAATGCTGTACACATTCACTGTTCTTTATATTTGCTGCCATTCACTAATGCAAAGTTAATGTCACATTTACAACACTGGCATCGTTAACAACATTTTTATACATTTGGTAAAGGAATGTTGTACCACGTACTACATACAAAAGTACTTTGTCAGTAGGAGTGTAGGAAAATATCAATACATATAGATTGTGTTGAAGATATTTTTAACCGTATCTACAGAATTCTACATTCCACAGAATGGTATGGATTGTTTTACAGTCAAAAATTCTTGGTGTTGGTCCATTTCCTTTTTCTTTTATTTCTTTTCAAGTGATTCCAAATGTAGATCCCTCTGTTCCAATGTTAGTGACCTGATGTTAAGATAGAACAGCATTGTGTGTTTATTATGATGACAGTCTGACTACAATTAAATTGTTTAAAAAACCCAAGTATATCGTGGTACCTATTGTATCGCAATATATTGTTTTGGTGCCCCTGTATTGTGATACGTATCGTATCACCAGATTCTTGCCAATACACACGCCTATTTGTTAAATTGAGTTGATGAGCAAACTGTTTTGAACTGCAAAACATCCATCCATCCATCCATCCATCCATCCTTTTCTGTTGATGCATGTATTTTATCAGTTTTTTGTTTTCCTACTGCTTCACGCTGCGTCAGAACTCTTGCCTTTACCCAGTGGAACACTTTAAGGTAAAAACACAAGCTGTTGAATATCAGTGGATGGATATTCTGTCACATTTGCCGTGACTCACAAACAAACACTGAGCAACTTTATCTGGCCAATGCCACACTCTGCTTTCCTCCTGGGTTTTAATCATGTGTTTTGATGCACTTGTGCTGCGAAAGCTGTTCATAATCATGTGTGAAACTACTGATGTACAAATGTGTGTTTGGGTGTATCTCAGGGAGAAATACACTCTGGAGCAGGACATCAGGGAGGCAGAGGAGGCCATCAGATACAAGAGTGCAGAGGTGCAGGTGAGAGCTAATCTGTCAGCCAATCAGAACCTGGGTTTTATTTAAATGAAGCATAATCCAGTATCTAATAAATATTGGTTTAAATCCACCAGGAGATGCAGAATGATCTGGACAGAGAGACGGCCAGTCTGCAAGAACTGGAGGCTCAGAAACAAGATGCCCAGGAACGACTGGAGGAGATGGATCAGCAGAAACACAAGTTAGAAGACATGCTGAATGAAGTCCGGATGAAGTGCCAGGAAGAGTCTCAGATGGTGAGGGGAGGAGGGGAAGGAGAGAGACAGAAAATCCACAGTGTTTTCTTTTAGTAGCAGGTCAACAATCATGAGTTACCCATCTTCACATCTTCACTGGTTGATTTGGCCTCTAGATCTCGACACTCCAGTCCCAGATCCACTCTCAGGAGTCAGACTTGCAGACTCAGGAGGAGGAACTGAGCCGAGCAAAGGCCGACCTGGGTCGACTACAACAGGAGGAGAAACAGCTGGAGCAGAGTCTGGCTGCTGGCAAGGTCCAGCTGGAGACCATCATCAAGTCCTTGAAGGCCACACAGGATGAGATCAACCAGGTAAGTACACGACTGCTGTTTGTAGATGTGCTCTACTGAGGAGCAATCACCAGGGGGCGACATTACACCATTAAATCTAATACATTATATCATGATTTGTTCCCATTATAGTGTTTGGTAAAATTAATTAGGCCTTAAAATAACATCTGAAAACATTTTGATATAAAAAAATTTGCTTTTTCTTTGTCAATTTTTAGATGTTCAGACATGACTTAAATATATTATTTATGGCAATGGGTCGGGTTAGAGATATTAACTTAATAACTGAAGAATTTAGTAAAAAAAGTTTTTCATTAAATGAGTTTGGGCATGTACACGAGTGTCCCACGAGTGTTGTGTTTAATCACAAATATATTATTTTGTCATGTGGCTAATAAAATCATGACATCAAAATGATGTCAGTCCTACAATTTTGTCATGTGGCTAATAAAATCATGTTCAAAATGATGTCAGTCCTACAGACTGTGTCTATTGTTGCTTTGTCCTCATGGGTAGGACATTTCTGTATGCAGCTGCACATTAACACTCAAGTAGAACACATTTAGTTTGTTCTGCAGTATTGCACACTGTATTATTGTAAGTCACAGTAAGTTATTTATGTGCTACTTTTCAATGGGATTTTATTCTGAACATGATTCATTTTTCAGTCTTAGATATATAATTCCACTGCACTTGTAATTGTAAAATAATTTAGTCTCTATAATAATCTTGACTTATAATTATTAGACAATTACTTCTGCCAGATGTTGAGACCCAATGTCTCCTGAATGTCAGCTACATGACTGCAGCCTGTTGTCACACCTGCTGCAGATGCAGATGACATGAAGATTTTAGGAATCCCCTCAGTTGATGGTTTCCTCATGCTCTCCTGTAATAATATCCAATCTCTTGCTTTTGGGAACATTTTGATTTTCATGACATGGTTCTCCGAGACCTCGTTTTATTATTCATAAAATCCCCCCTCATAAAATCTGCCACCCAGGGATTTTCTAACACTTCAGGCAATTGAAGTGTACGTCATGCACCGAAAACATCAACAGCTTAAATCCATAACTGGGCTTGTATTACACGCCAAGAGGAAATGCCCCAACGTCCTGAAATCATAAAGGTGCTCAATAGGCCACAAAGGTGGCTTTAAAAAGTTACTATTTTCTGTTCTAATGGAGAACAGCTGCCGAGAAACCAGAACTGTACACTTGTAAAAGTACTCCTGCTGTCTGATACATTTTCATTGATCTTTTCTAATACCAGATTATACTTATGATGGTATATGGCTCTATGTAAATTAAAAAAAAGTGTTTTAGTGGTTCTGTTAATTTTCCTATTTTGTTTTTAAGAACATTAGTCCAACATGTTTCTGTTCAATTCCTGGTTTTATTTGGAAAAACCAATGGTTTTAGAGTCTGAACTTTTTTAAAATGTAATAAAAACTCATAGACAATGTAGATTACACCAGAAACAAACATGAATGAAGCAAACTGTTAAATGATAAAGGGGTGATATTTTGCAATATTCTGCAATATATTGAGGTGCTACTTTATTGTACACTTACGTCCTTATTCATTTTCAGTTTTTTACACAAACTCGAAAGTAAGGAGTTAATGTCTGGTATTAACATCCTTCCTCTAGTAAGTAATACTAAGTATTACTGGGAAAGCCCCTTCCCCATGATAGTATACAGTACCTTTGAGTTTATTCTACAGAATACTCTGGTTTGTCCTTGTTTAGTATGGTTGACACAACAATACCCAGAATACTCTGGTTTGTCCTTGTTTAGGATGGTTGACACAACAATACCAGGCATTTGCATAAAGCAGACATATTTGTCAACCACTATGATTAAAGGGTTATTAACTAAACTTGAAGAACATCCACCATAAGCTACATTTAAACAGATACATGTGCAATTACTTTCAATTATATCTGATTTAACAATGGACAGTCATGCAGTTGATTGAAATGAAAAATGTTTGCAGGTGAGCAATCATCCACCTGTGTCATACAGATGATATTTGACGTATAAATCACATGACTTATTGTGTAAACTGAGATGAAACGAAAAAAAGTAAAGTGTGTATACATGTATATAAATGTATACATTTGCTGATGCTGAACTCTGTGTATGTGTTGTGTGTCACAGGCTCGCAGCAAGTTGTCCCAGATTCAGGACAGCCAACAAGAAGTGTCCAAAAGCATCGAACAGTACAACAGCACCTTGAACGGAACCCACGGGGGCAGTATGACCAACCTGGCCGACATGAGTGAGGGCTTCAGCGACAGAGAGAACGGCGGGTTCTCAGCCATGATGAGAGGAACACAGGTGAGGAGCTGTGGTTCTCCTGTTTAGCTCTGTGAGCTGTACTGCAGTACAGTGGACTGAGGTTCTTACTCCTTACTCTGTTCTGTTCCTTCTTTATCCTCCTCTTGGCTCTTGACTTATTCTCTCCTCCTGACCACAAATTACCCACAGTTCTCTGCTCTGGGCCAAATCCTCAGTTGTCACCTCTGTCATTTAAAATGTCCTTTGCCAAAAGTCCTGCTCATTATTCCCTTTCCATGATTTCTACATTGTGGTCCCTCCAGATCAGAGTTGTTCCCCCTGCTCTGCTGTAATACCACAGCTCAGCTCACTCTCCTCATAATAACTTCATTACTTTGGCCAAAGTTCCTTTCACAGCTGGCCAGCAGCTCTCATTTAACACTTCTTTCAAAGTAAAATGTGCAATTAACATTATGTACCTTCTACGGCCAACATGTGGATGAGGGAAATAGGTGGTAATAAAGTCACAGAGACAGATAAGGGTGAACTAATAAAACACCATATGTCATTGAAGACGGTATGTTCGACTTCATTTTTCTGCTAGATGGCACTCTTGGTATTTAGTCATCGAGGCAACAAGATGATTGGAGGTAGTCATTGTTAAAAAAGTTCTTGATTCTCTACATCTGTTTATTAAAACCTCAACCATTAGAAAACAGGAAATGAACAGAGGTACTGTTTTTTTAATTTAAAATTTCTTGACTGAGCCTTGGAATCTATAGAGAAACTTTATTCTATTTAGTATTACTTTTGCGGGCAACCATGATGTGTACAGTCAGCACAATCCTGTAGTTTTCTTTGGTTACTATTGCACAGGTTTGACTGCTGATACGTGTTACATATATTATAAGAAATAACATAGTATGTGATCAGTGTACTTGTCCAGTTCAGACCAGCAATAAAATTCCCTTTGATACTGTGTTTTTATAAATAATGTATTCACCCATTATTTTAGTTGTGTTTATACTGTAAAAGAATCTGTTTTTAACGTCTGTCTCTCGAAGCAGCAGCAGAACTGAAAAGTCCCGAGCTGAGAGACTTGGTGAAGTAAAAGAACAGTTAGGACTAGCCTAAAACATCAGTCTGATTTTCCTGTTTTTCCTCACTGACACAGGAGGATCCATTCAAAGTGAAGCCATCAGTGTTTAACAGCCAGCCGCAGGAGCTTCCCACTGACCCATTCCACTCTGAAGACCCCTTCAAAACTGACCCGTTCAAAGGTTAGCACTCCTCCTAATCCCCCCTTATATTTTTCCTTTACTTGGTATGGCTCCCATCTCCCCCTGTATTAACTGAGCTGAGTTTTTCTTTTAGAAGCAGCTTTTGTTGCTTATATCTTGAGTAGCTCTCACTGTTATCTTTGTTTTCATTTCTTCCCGTTTGTCATTGTCCTCTGTCTGCTCTATTCCCGGCCCATAGGCGACCCTTTCCAAAATGACCCTTTTGCAAAGCAGCCACCAGCATCATCAGGTATTGTTGTGTGGGAAAGAATCTCCAATACAATAATTCACTAACACTTGATTATTTGTTGTTTAGTTTGGCAGCAAACATTTACACCATCAGAAACTAAAAAACACATTTATAAAATGCAGATTTCCCTGTCTGGTTTTTGGCTTTTTTGTGTAGAGGTTGTATATGTTGCAATACTTTCTTCTAATGTTCAATTACACTGATATAAATTTAACTTTCATTAGTTAATCAATTCTTATTGTAAAATGAAAAAAACCCAAAAACAAACAAACTTTGAATCTATTCAGAAACACAATGTTGATGGTCATCTTTGCACTGTCCTTTTCTTGTGGTGGCAGTCCTGCTTCTTGTGTATGTGATGAGTAAAACATTTGGTTGAACTGCGGCTTGTGTAACACTTCCCTCTTATTGTGGGGTTTCACTTCTCTGCTTACTAGATGGAGATTGATGATAGAAGTTGTCTTGTTTTGCATAGTGGTGAACCTCACACCCACATTCAGAGTATTCAATTTTCAATGTACATCAAATCCTTCCAGCCACTCAACAAAACACATCCATGCACTTGTTGCTTGTTTCTTCTTCTTCTTTCACCCCTTTTTATCTTCTCACACTGCAAATCCCCAGAAATGCATCAAGTATTTTCAAGTATCATCAAGTATGCATTTTAAAATATATTAGGATTCACACTGATCTAACTGTAGGGCAATTTAAAATGTTAGCAAATATATTATGAATATAATGAGTTGATGTTGTTGATGACTTTTTCTTGCAGATCCTTTTGGAGGAGATCCCTTCAAAGAAACTGATCCATTCAAATCTTCATCTGAAGATTTCTTTAAGAAGACCCCAAAGAAGGATCCCTTCTCTTCACCAGACCCCTTTAATAAAAGTGCCACATTACCCAACAAGGTGTGTAAGGCACTGTATTGTTGAGTAGATACCAGGAACCCGGACCAAAGGTTTATTTATTCTGTCCTGTGAAATCTGCTCCTGTTAAGATTAGATTAGATTAGCTATAATTTTATTAATTCCTCGGGAATTAGCTGTTGGAATTTGAGGAAATGCACATGCTTTTGGCTCCAAGTGTGAATTGTCTTTTAGACACAAAGGTGTCGTAAAAATATGATACATTTTTATTCTCTGCAAACTATGCTGCAATCAAAAAAAAAAAAGAATAATTTTAAACAAATGAAATTTTAAACTGTAGTGACATGACTCTGTTTTTGTCTGCAGCAGGGAAGTCACTTCACCAGCAGTGATCCTTTCTTGTCGAGTAACATCAAACCCAGAGGAACAGGTGTGATTTAAAGTGTTATAATTTCTTAAAGCAGCTTTATGGGGCAACCAACGACTTATTTACAACGCTTTACACTGTGTAAAATCTGTGTATTCGGTCTGTGGTGTTCAGTGTCGTATTATAATGAATAAATAACATTATAAATATAAAACAGTCATTCATCTGGATGGGCTTCCAGACTGTGTCTGTTGTAATGTGTAGATGATAAAAATATTGAATCTTAGTTTTACTGTTTAATTTGTGCCATTATACATTATTTTCTTCACACACCTTAATAAATAAGTAAAATGACACAAATCCAACCTTTGGACTTCCTCAGTTCTGCCAGGATTCTATATTCAGAACATTTGTTTCTGTGAGAACCTGCCTGAAAACATGCTTTTAATGTAGATCTGATCATATGATTTTTTTTAATTATTATTATTTTTAAGTGAGCTGTTAAAAAGACTGCTGTCCTTCTCAGATATCTTTGGTACATTGGACCCATTCGGCAGCAACTCCTTCAGCAGCAGCAGCAACAGCTCTGGTGGGTTTGCAGACTTCAGCCACATGTCAAAACCCAGAGACCCCTTTGAAGGTCGGGCCAGTTGGTTGCCAGACTACCAACAAAAGGTACCATAGAAATCGACCGTTTCTTTTCTCACAACTGAAATACATACATACTAAAATACACTTGTCAATTTCTTTTATCAGTTGGTGTTTGCAGATGATCCATTCAGCAGAAAGAATGATACACCAGCTCTGCCACCCAAGAAAAATGTTCCCCCCAGACCCAAACCACCTAGTGGTGAGTCGTTCCATACAAGTCCATTTATCTCAACCCTAAATGTGTCCTGGGGGAATACAACCAGTAACCACAAAATGTTTTTGGTAAAGGTATCTGAAAGCTGAATAATCTGCCTTTTGTGTAATTTCTGTGGTCAAAGCTTCTGTGAGAGTCATTTTATGTTCTGCCTAAAGTTAGCACAGAGAGGAAGTGGAACTTTGGCTTTGAGTGTTACAAAACCAAGGTTTACTGTTGATTGAGTTTGTTCTTTAAACTGCATTACTTAACTACAATATGAACATGTAAAAATAACCTGCATTATCATTATTAGAAAACAGGTGATGATTCTACAGGTGGATACTGTGGAATGACAAATAATTCACTTTACTGAATAATTTATTTCAAGTCAGATAAATAAGATCAGAAACAACTTGGTGATTAATCAATGGCAAATATATTTATTGGTTGTGGGGTCATTAATACAGGCCCGCTCTCAGCACAACACTGATGTTGTGAGCAAATCCACATTAGTCACAAGTAATGACTAGTAGGTCATTAGAACAACTGTGGTGTGTTTTGGGTGCAATTACCCAGAAACCTTTTTTTCCAGCCAAAATTTGTAGTCTCTCCAGCAGCTCTTTAATGTTGTCGTACATTTTTATAAAGTGTTTGGACTCTTCATCAAACTTGTCTCAGGTTTTCACAGCTCAGTAACCAATCAAACTTGAAACACACTTTTTCTGTCACCAAACCTCTATTCTCAAGTTTCTGCGAAAGAACACATGAAGGTGACGTTCAGAGAGCGATGCTCTGTGGTTTGCTTGACTTGTTGTTTACAGACACACCCAAACTAGCTTCCTCTCTCGTCCCCTCTGATCGTGTGTGTGTGCATGCATTAATGTTGTGTGTAATGCTGTGGAGTATTTTAGAGAAGCTTATGCTACAGAGCCTCCAACAAACATGTATTTTCTGTAAGATGCACATTTGCCAGTTGTTGCATTTAAAATTAGATACCACTGTCTGAATGCTTTATTTGAAAACAGGGTGGAGATGATAGTTGTGGTTTACCGTGTTAAAGTGTGCATATATATGTGCACGTGTGGTTTTCATGTAGAGAGAAAAACTGATTGCTAGGCCAGCAGCTTTAAACTCAGTGTGAAGTGTGGAGCCATCGGCTCAGTTACCAGGGTTAAAGAAGTTAATGTATATGATGTATGACTAAAGTTGGACTGGTCCTGTGGTTTGACACCTTTACACGAGTGGGATGATCACTTAATGTTCCCACGGTCATCTGCCCGCCTCATCCTTAAACTCCCTGTAAACTCCCTGAAATAACTACCTACCTGGATAAGTGTGGTGTTATAGTTGGATCTCCAAATAACTGAGCAATTTTAAATATATATTTTTTATGTTAATTTCTTCAATAGAATACCTCCATGATCAGCACTGTTACCGAATAGGTTTGAATGCTGTTCAAAATTAACAGTCCTTATAAGGGGTGTGTATTGGCAAGAACCTGACGATGCGATGTATTGTGATATACTGCGATACTATAGGCACAGCGCTATAATGACTTTTTTAACAGTGGAACTGTAGTCAAACTGTCATCACAGTAAAGACACAATGTTGTTCCATCTTCACATCAGGTCACTAACATTGGAACAGAGGGATCTACATTTGGAATCACTAAAGAAGAAAGAAATGGAAAAAAATATGAACCAACACCAGGAATATTTGAATGGTCATTTTGGTGTATTGATATTTTCTTACAACCCTAGTCTGTATTTAAAGTTAACCTCTGATATGGATTTTTTCAAAAAATAGCAAAATTATTACAACATGTTTGTTTTTCTTGTGTCTTTTATCAATGGCCTGCCTGCTCAATCTTATAAAATCTTTCTGCAGGACTTGTTTGTTATGAGTGTTTGTGATTTCAGTGGTGTGTTTGTGCAGTTGGTAAGTAGGTGAACCAACAGTTGGTACTGTGGGCAGAACCCAAACCAAGTGATTTACCAGGAAACTCCTTCCTTGAACCTGTTCTGTGGCTTTGTAGAGTATCGCTTTTGGTTTGGGTATTTTGCTTTTGCAGTAAACATTTTTTTTTCTCTCCCTACACCAGCTCTTTGTGAAACTTTAAATAAAAGCCTGAGAATGGATTCTTTTGCAGCATGCTGACCTGAAACTCGTGCAGCTCTTAAGCCCTTGTTTGGTAACTTTGAGGTGATCGCAGAAGGAAACCAGGGAATGTGGGCAATATGTGAGAATCAACAGGTCTTAGATACCCGTACGGTTTCCTTCAGATCTGAATTTGTTACCGAGGTTTAACTTTAGTGTCAATGAGGTGAGAATTACTCATGGGAACTGCACTGATGACTCACAAGATTTGTGAATATCTTCTAACACGTTCTTATTCTGTTCACATCCTCCGCAAGAGCTGTGGGAAAATTGACCTAGGATGTTCCTTTTGTTGTTTTAAATTTCCTGTCAGCGAAAAAGTAACTTGCAGTTTTTGCTTTCTAAAGGTCACCAGGGTCACAGGGACACATTAGAAGAGACTCAGTGAAAACTGCCCTCAAGGCACTCAAAGTCACAATAAAGTAGGGGTGTATATTTGCAAGAAGTGGGTGAAAAGATATGTATCACAATACAGGGGCAACGGTACGATTATATATATGGCAAAGTCTTGGTGTAAATTGTCCTTCTGTTGTTGATCATGTTGACACGTTCACATCATTGGCCTCAAAACTGCACAAAGAAAAACATTTTAAGTCAGTGCAGTTTTCCTACTGTGACCAGATTCATCACTAACTTGTTTTAGCGAACAGTGGAATGAAAGTTTTTTCCTCTATGGTTAATATGTTTTTTGTTTTTATCTCCTAAGGCAAAACAACACCTGTGCACATGTCCGGCTCAGCTGACTCCTCCAAACCATGCGACCCTTTCCAGCCATTTGGTGGTGAAGCCATCGACCCGTTTCAAAGTAAAAAGGGCTTGGCAGACCCCTTCAGTGGCAAAGACCCTTTCGCTCCCTCATTGACATCAAGTAACGACCCCACAGACTCTACAGATGGTTTTGCAGACTTCAGTTCTGTAAGTTGAGATGGGTGATACTGTGGGTCAGAGTGGATGTACAGTTTCATGACAGTATATTTATGGTTCAGCCCAAGTTAGAAAACACATGGCAGACTAGGCAGGTTTCCCAACACCAATTGTCAGAATGCAGTCTTCAACCAGTATGGAGCCTCTTGGTACCAGCTACCAAAAGTTCATTCACTCTTCTGATGTAGTTACTCTAAAATCCCTGAACTTATTTTTGCCATGTTTTAATATGTTTACAAAAAATCATCCATCCTAAGGTCTGATGGAAACCTCTGCTCAAAGTTTTAGGTTTAAAATAAATATATGGGTAGGTCAACTATAAATTGCTGACACAGCACTCTACTTGCCAGCCCACTCTGTTTTTAGTTGTGTTTTACTAATTGCAGCCACTGTATTCATGTGGGCCTCTCATGGATCTACTTCAGTAACACAGTCAGGCATGGGTTTGACTGCGAAAACTGTCCTCTGTCTGTAAAAAGACAAATCCTGTAGGGCCCATGTATAAATCCATTTGGGTCCCTAACACTATTGGAGCTACTAATGCACATTGCTCTTTCATTTCTTAATTAACACTAAAATCTCAATCACCATTTTTTAATGAGTTCAGATCAGCTGTCTTTCTGTCCTAGCTCACAGTTGGGATGTTCACGTAGGGGACCGCTGTTTAGTTGGACCAGTTCAGCCAGATAGTTTTGTGTCTTTTCCAAGTACTTTTTAAGTACAATACTTGGGCTAAAACATATTGTATTAGAAAAAACAAAATGATGAAGAATTATTTGCTCCATGCAGTGAATATTTTCGTCAATAATTTTTACCTTGCTTTGTGAGGGAGATGCTGCTGTATCTTAACCGTGTAAGGTTGAAGACTTTAAAGTGCAGTACTGTGGATTGTACACTGCTAGGCTATATAGAGTGTTGGGTTGTATATTGGCAAGAATCTGGTGATACAATACGTATCACGATACAGGGGCAACAATACGATATACTGCGTTGCTATAGGCACGATGATATATTAAGAGATTTTTTAAACAATTTGATTAATGAAAAACTCTTAGCATAGTAAACACACAATGCTGTTACATGAGAATGTCAGGTTACGCAGGGATTGAACATTTATTGTTGGTCAGATGGCAGCAGTGGTTTGGGCAACAATAAAGACCAGCACTGTAATAGTACAGTTTTTACATCCCTGCGTTGAGAACAGTTCAGTGTTAAAGCTGTGTAGGTGGCAGAACTGCAGCATGACTGTTATCATCGGCAGGAAGTGGTGCCCGCCCTTTTGTGGTCAGTGCGTTAGTGTTGACAGGAAGATAAGTGTGAGTTTTGACAGAAGTCACAAATGATTTTTTTTCCCCCTAACATCAGCAGTACAACGAGCTGTGGATGAAGAGAATCACAGGTTGATGGATGTAAACCCTCTTTATAATCCAGGACTCTACAGATCATCCCCCTCTATCTGTGCATTGAGGGTGACTCATTTAGTGGTGGTTCAGAAAAGTGACCGCAGCTGCTGCTCATTTAACAAAAACCCACAGTATCACTTCTCAGTGCTCAGCTTCTGAGTCTGTCTGTGTGTGTTTGCATGTGCATGCTCTTTGTGTTGGTACTAGGGATGTCCTGATCACCATCTGGTAATATTTAGTTTAAAATATAATGTAAATACTGTGAGCTTAGAATCAGACACCTGCAGGATTTCATTGATTTAAATCCTCATGGTGCATAAACTGCACTCAATTGTTAGGTTCAATGGCCTTTAGTACATACTGTACATAACATAGGTCTCATAAAATACATGTTTTCTCTCGCTCTATACACACACCTGACCTCTGCAACAATGATGGAGTTCAAACCAGTATTATACAATTATGTTAGTGCCATGGCTGTTTTCTAATGTGTATTTATTACTCTAGCACAATTCTTTATTACAATAAATTAAAATACAAATAGATATATTGCAAGTAAAATATTTATCTTCACTGAAACCAGAAAAGTCAGAACATCCATAGTTCATCAGTTTTCTGTTACTCACCTAAGACCACTTACTTATCGGTTATTCATCACTCTGCACCATCCTAACACATTCACATTCCCTCAAAAGAACTGACTGTATTTTGTAGAAAAATATCACTAAGTCATTCTCAGCTCTGATAAGCCATGAACTGGTGTTAAAAAAAACCTCATTTTCTCACATTTCCCACAGCATTTAGAAAATAATATTTTCACATATTTTATGTCATACAATATTATTTATGTTGTCCCATCTGTTCTATCAAAGCTGCTGAATGTGAAGGTGTTTTCATCAGATCAGCACTTTCTGCTGTTTTCACAGCAAACACTGCAGCAGATGTCCGGTCAGCTGCAGCAGAGAGAGGCAGAAATGGCTGACATTTTTACTTCATGATGGTTTCAGCTTCTTCTTTTTAACACGATGGTGTGCTGATTGGCCTCATTGCCCGTTAACCATTTATCAAGATGTGGTGCATGAGCCAATATCCTGCTGATGCTATGCTGGCCATCTTTATGATTTTAAACACATGGTCATCAGCTCAACACTTCAAAATGACTGAATTTTTCAATCCAATTAATCTCAGGGTGGCTGTGAATTAATCACTTTTAATCAAGATTAATTAAAATGGTTATTTAATAGACCCTCACAATCCATTGGACAGTTGTCAATCAACTAGACCCTCACAATCCATTGGACAGTTGTGTCAATCAACTTGTCAATCGTACACTTACTGACTGTCCTGATCTCAGTTGGGCTGCTCTGAAACAAGCCGGGTCTGAAGTTGAAGCCTCCACAAACACATGGGAGTTTAGATATTTTTTAGACCAGTGGGCTTCAGTGAATTAAGTGATTAACAAGTGTGTTTGACAGCCCAATTAAAACATGAAAGAATTCTTCCCCAACAAACTCCTAATGACAGCATCACATCTGTTATTCCTCTTGTTTCAAATCTGTTATCTTTCCTACTGTTACTTCTAGGGCTGTCACTTTCTTCTTTTTCACAATTTATGAATTGGGTTTTAAATGTCCCCATCGTGGAATGAATAAGGAACTAATTTAAAAAATATATATAATGTATAATCATTTGTCTCCAAAAAACATATGAAACATAAATGAAAGTGACAGCTTTAACTCTTAATCTGTGTCCTTTGTCTTTTCTGGAGCTTCGCTGATACTTCAGTTTCACACGTCCACGACTTGTTGCTCTGATTGGCCAAAAACATAAATTTCAATGTCAGTACATTAACTGTTTTATTAGCCTCCAAAAAATCACTAACTACACTAACTACACTGCATTTTACAAACACAAATCAAAGAACTGAGCAGTAGTTGAAGACAGAGGCTGAGACGGCGAAACTGTGGACTGTGTGCAGTGATATCCTGTGATGTAGACTAGATATTTGGTTATTGTGTTTTTTTTATAACATCTGTTCTGTAATCCACCTCTCTGACAGGACCTGAAAAAGTCAAGGTAAGAAAACCACACGATTAAAATAATGAGTCAGCATTTACAAAACTGATCTCAGTGATTTTCAACATATTTTAGAAAAAAAAATTTTCTTACACAACTATTGGAAACCAATATGTCACAATGTCAGGTGTATGGTTAGAGTGCTTTGACTTACAGACTTGTTTCTGCTCAATATCTCTAACGGTGAAGCCAGTATTTGACTGGAATCATGATGAATAAAATCCGGTGCAGAAGTCCTGCTCGGTTTTCACTTTTTTTTATTGACCTTTCATTTGAATTTGACAAAAATTAACCTTTAGGTTGAGGCATCCAAAATTATGTCTGTAGTTTGCAGCGTTGCAGATTCCGTTCTCGTTCCCTGTGTCTTTCTATAGTTTGGAAACGAAGCTCAGCAGCTGGAGTGGGCCAAGAGGGAGAGTGAGCGAGCAGAACGTGAGCGGCTGAAGAGGCTTCGGCAGCAGGAGCAGGAGGACCTGGAGCTGGCCATCGCCCTGAGCAAGGCCGAGATGTCCAACGCATGACCGGGTCGTCCGGGCCAACACACAGGAGGGACGGCTGACCTTTGACACCTCACACACAGACACTCAGTGACTCGGTAAGCAAGGAGCAGAAGGACTTGACATTTAGAAGAAAAAAAACCCTCAAAAACAAAAGTAAGCATGAACTGAGAAGTCTTCTCTGGAACACTGAAGAAGATGAAAAAGGACAGAGAACTCCCAGGTATTGTGTGAATACACTGCACTGACCAGACTGAAAAAGACAGAACACATGTCCTGACAATTCATGACTCATTTTCTGGACTTTTATTTTTTATCCTTTATTTTAATTTTAATTTCCTTTCTTCAACAAATCTAACCTGTGTACAAATCTATTTTTTTCAGCCTCTTTCAGCCATTTCTAAATGAGTAAACTGGGTTTTATTTCCAACTTCTGTTAAAAAGCAAAACAGAGCAGCGCAGACAAAGCTAGAGGGTTTTGTCTATAAAAAATTTATCTCACTGTGACACTGACACGGTCAGTGTTTGGATCAGATCTGTTTTATAGAACAGTACAAGAGTCGAGCCAAATGTGAAAACAGAAGAATGTTGGAGATTTGTTTCCTTTTTATCCAGAGCCAGTTGAGAAGAAACCTCATAACCTTTGCCTCTCTTCTTCACTAAACCCAGATTTTTATATTTGCTTTTTCTTATAAGAATAATTTTAATCTCTTCGTCTGACATTGACTTTGATTACTGTACAATGCCGTGTAAAGGTCTTAAACCGACACTAGATTTTCTTAAATTCAGCAACAATCGATGACAAACAGAAACTAAAGACTAATAGCCATTATTTAGTTTTATAAGTTTATCTTTAGTTTTTTAACCTTGTCCTTCCTAGAGTTTTACATTGAGTCTGACATTTTTTGTTTAACAGACAAGTGAATTGGTTTTACTTTAATTGAAGTATTCACAGGACTCCAATAGTTTCACCCATATATCCTGCATCTAAAATCATCAGTAGTTTGAGTGAACTGCACTAAATCCATGGTTGAAATGAAAGTGTGGTTAAAACCTTAGGGCTCATCCCTAAAGGTACAGATTGGTGCAGACTGTGACCATCTCAGGTTAAGGTCTGATAAAAATAATTTCATAGTTTGGACAGATTTTCTTCTTCTCTCTGTTCTGTTTGTATTTGACACCTGGGACAGATATGTTTTTGTTTCATTTAATATATCTGTACAGATGTAAAACTTCGCTACAGATTAAAAAAACAAAACAAACAAAAAAAACTATATGCAGATGCATATGTTTAGTTTTGGTGTAAGACGTTGGCACCGTCTTGTACTTGGTGTTTGACCACAGCAGGAGTCTGTGTTTGTCTGTATTCACAGCTTCAGTGACATCATGGCTGACTGTAGTGTGACTTTGACCTGTCAGGTGAGACCGAGCTCTTGCCGACCGACAGTTGTACAGAATCTTTATTAGAACAAGGGTCGTGAAGACAGGTTTTTTTTTTTGGTGATGACCTTTGCCCCCTCTCTCAGTCTCTCTCTGTCCCTCCCTCTCTTTCTCTCTCTCTGTCTGTCCAGTTTAGAGTATATACTGTAGATCTAAACTAAGCTTCTCCTCAACCACTGACCCGACTCTGCTGTGATGTCACTGTATTCAACACAGAAGATGGGTGAATTATTTTTGCTACCTTTGACCTTGTTGTTTAAGAAGTGAGGATTTAATTTGTTTTAATGTCATCTCTTTGTTTCACACTCACCTTAGTGTGTGTTTTTTTTCTTTTAATTATTGTGTCATATTTTCAGTTGACTTTTTGTCAGTTGCTGTGCTCTACAGACCAAGTACTGAACTGGAATCTGACTCGCTGAGGCTGGAGAGTAAATATCTGTGAAAAAAGTATATTATTAATAATATGTTTATTGTCAATCGTCGTAGCTCGAAGCTCCAACTGCAACTGAACCACTCACCATGACTTCCTGTGACTTTTCCCTTTTACTTGAAGCCTGTCCCATGGTTTGAGTTGTTCTGCTCAACAAAATATTTTTATTGTCCTTTTTTCAGATTTGTTCAAAGTTAGTTGTGTTTATATATATTTGTCTATATTTTGTGTGTCCTTGATATGTCACACACATATTTTCAGTGTTATAATTTGTGCTGAGAGCACACACATCCTCCTGACCATAATTATTATAAGGGAAAAGTTTAAGCATCTTTCTGACAGCATGGTCCTTCATGGGGAGGAGACAAAACAGCAGTTGTCATTTTGAAGCAGCTACAGTTTGAAATCTTGCAAAAGAACCAGATAGTCAGGATCAAATCCTGATCCCTGGGTCCGAGCTATACCTGTGTAGCCTTGTTCTCTTGCCTGTGTAGCTGTTATAACCATTTGAAAATGGTTTAAATGTGAAAAGCCATGTTGGTACCGAGTAGGACCACATGCTGGACTGAGACACTTAACTTTATTTGTCTCCCTGTCGTCGGGTCCACACGTTTTGCAGCTCCTCCCCTGGACATGAATGTGAACTCTCCCCGAAATAGACTGATGTGTCCCTGAAGTGGAAGCTAATGCTGATGTCCAGTCCTGCAGATTGCCTCTACCTGCTGTGTGTTTATTATTATTATTTTGGTCATGTTTACATATCATGTATGATTGACTGTGCTGTAGTTTTGACTTGCTGTGTTTGTGCTGGAGAAGGTTGACCGTGGTACAGAGTGAGCTTCACCTTCTAAGCTGTGCACAGCACAAACCTTCCTGAAGTCCTGAAAATAGTCAAAAAGATCCCAATCCTACCAGTTTGAGTGGCGTTGTTCATGTGTCATTGTTTTGATTTCATTGAAGACAGCAAACTTGTCTGCTTCTTGCTTGTTGTTGTTTTTTTCTTTTTCTTTTCTTTTTTTTTTAAAGTTCCTGTAGACATACAGTACACCAATCATGTATTTTAATGACTAGGGATGTAACGATGCGTTCTGTATCAGTCAAAATTGTGATCTGAAAAAAGCTTGTGATTGGTATGGTGAGTTCAGTGTATCATTACATCCCTGTCACTGACATACAGTTTTTTGCAGATGTGTGTACATATTAGTTGGCGTTTGCTTGTACACCTGTAAAAGACAAAGGAAAGACTGCTCGGAGGGAGAGATGGAACGTGTCCACCTGCTGAGGACTTTTTCCACATTGCTGTATCTGTAGCTGCCATTGTTACATCAGTGTTATATTGCTATAAATTTGCCATTATTTTGTTTATTTACTTTTGCTTTTCTGCTCCAGTGTTTTCAGATGCTGTAATTTACTTTTTTTTTCTTTTTTTCTTTTAAAGTGCTCCATCAAAAAACTCCTTTAGACAATCTCAGCTGTAGGGATTTCACTCTTGAATCAATACCGCATTCAGGCTGAAAAAACAAAGTGACGGCCATGGTGTGGAGGAAATGTTTTTTCATCATGTTTGAAATACTGAGATTTCTTGAAGATACGTAACGGCAAGCTGGTGCACAGATAATTCAGAAGGGCTGTAACTGGAAAAAACCCACTGTGCCAAATTACATATGTGGATAATATACAGTGAAGACTCCACAGTGATTCTCCTTCTTTCTCAGACCACTGAGGTTGAGGCTACAGCCACTAAACTCTGGTTTTATTGATGTCTGTTTTTTTCTTCTATTCAAAACAACGTCATTCCAAAACAAAAATCCACATTCCCAGGTCCACAAATCAAAACAAATTACAGACTTTTTTTCCCCTTATCATTACCCCCTAAAACTCCATACGACCCCTGTTTGACCTCCGCCTGCCTTAGTTGTTGCTGTGCTGCTGCTCAGATTGATGAGCTTTTACTCTGGTACCATGACTCATACTGTATTTGTCATCCTGATACCTCCATTGTGCAATAGACAATGTTTTTTGTGTGTTTTTAATTGTTGTTCTGTGTAAAAAAAAAAACAAACCTGTACATGTTTTTATTTTTTACAAAATGTTTATTTATGCACCTGCTGCCACAAACTAACCTATCACTCCTTAATATCACACAGTCCAGATGTTGGAGTCTTTTTAAATTCACTCCTTAATATCACACAGTCCAGATGGAGTCTTTTTTTAAAATTTTTTTTTTATTGGCAACAATGTGGAGACATAAGTGAAATTATTAGGATTAACAAGATTATTTTTTAATGTTGATTTAATTCATATTTAATTGTGTCCGTACTGACTAAAACGCATGATTTTACATTTTGCTCTTTTTTCTTTTTTTTCTGTTCCTCACATTGAAATATTTCACAGCAGTGTTTATAAGTATACATTGTGTAAATACAGTCTGTATAGAATTCCGTGGATTACAATTGTCCCATACAAGGTGAGAAAACGTGATTATGTGTGACACTTACACTACTATAGCTGAGAGAAGACAGAGATGCTGCTTTTATTTTGAAACCCTGATTCTCCACATGGTCTGTACTGTTTAATAGAATAAACATTTCAGTTAAAACAGCGGGCTGCTGCTGCCTCCGGTGGTAACTGATGTTTTTGGGGTAAAAGAGAAATCAAGTGTGCAGGTGTCCTGCCCATTACTTTAAGAACGACCTGGAGAAACAGTCAAAATCAGACGACAACCTTGTAATGAATCACTCTTTTCAAAATAGCAACTCCTAAAATCTAAAAGGCTCCATATTGAGCCACAGACACAGCTACTTTGACAGGCTGGTTGTTGAGGCTGTTTCAAACTCAGATCTTCTGAACAGGCTGCAGGGAGAAAACTGTGTCCTCACAGACGGAGTCAGCGTGCAGTGAAACACACTGAACCACAGTTCAAGGATACAGCTGTGTGGACTGAAGTAGGTGCTGTGCAAACACAGTAAACCTTTGTGGATGTATCAGCTGAAACCCAAGCTCTTTGCTAAGTTAGCATATGCTAACTGACACCATATGGAATAACAGGAAATTCCTTGAAGCTTTGTGTTTGCCCAACAGTAATGGAGAGGAGGAAATGAAAATTGATTTTTTTTTTTTTTTTTTTTTTTTGCTGGGAATGTGGGTCACAGATAGACCAGGAGGGAGCATGTGGTTTTACCCCAACACTGATTCTCTTCAATAAATACCTCTGACTGCTCTGTCCTGACCCCAGGTGCTGTAGGTGGAGACTGGTGGTGTACCACTGCTGGAGCAACATAAATGTGCACATGTTCATCATCCACTGATAGAAGCCTACTGAAGAACTTCTGTCAGAAGAAAACCAACATGTATGAAATATTACATTATTTTTTTATGCAGGTGTGAACATGTACCATTGTTACATTTTGTAGCTTTTTCATCTTTTATGAGTATTTGAAATGTCAACAACCAGCAGCTCGTTATCAACAACATTGATGTTTTCCAGCCACCGTTTGGGGACATTTTTCACCTCCGTCTGCCCTGACTGAACAGTTCCTCTTCCCTGTGGAGCTGTATGGTCCAGCATCAGGTCAGCAACCCACATAATATTAAATGCAAAACAAAACAGGTCTGCCGTTTTAGGTATTCTAAATAAAAAATACTTCAATAAGCAGAAATGCTGCATATAAAATGTGTGTATATATGTATATAAATGTGTATATGTGTACTGTATTTACAGTATATGTCCATATAGTATAGACACATACATAAAAATGCCCCCATTGATGTATATGTATGTACATTACAGTCATGACCCAGATGTTGCCACAGATCAGTCCACACAGTCCAGAAACATGCAGGATGAGGTAAGTCATTTACTCAGAGTTTACCACAGGTGTGAATGTGACTGAATGGTTTGTCTTTGTCTCTGTAAGAGACCATGTGATGGACTGGAGAACTGTCCAGGGTCTGACCCCTTGGGGCTGGCTCCAGGACCCCACACGACTCTGTAAAGAAGAATCAACAAACTTTTTTTTACTGCTAAGAAAAAGAAGACAAATCAAAAGTTAAAGTAAATATACCCTCCTGTTTAAGAAACAAGTGTATTACATACGCTGTTCTTGATCTGCATTCCAGCAGGAGTGTCAAGCTATCCCCAGTAGATGGCATCCTCTTCCCACACAAGGAATTCCAATCGTCCTGTAGCAGAGCCAAGCACCTGTAGTTCTTGGACTGTGTCCAGGTAAGATGTTTTTTCAAAGGAAAGGAGGATGTTTCTTTAGAAGCTCTGAGAATTTCCCTTATTGGAAGATGTTTCCTTCTATGTCGTATCCCAGAATTGGTTTGTGGGAATCAGAAGTGTTTGTTGGTCCTCTGTGATAAGGTGCTGTTTAAATCAAGTTCAGGAGAATCTAAACAGTCCGACTTCCTGAGCCAGCTGATGGACCTGCAGTTACAGTGCAGTGTTTCAGGTTCTAGATCCTAACCTGAGGATGGAAGGGTTTCCATTCAGTTTTGGTTAATGATGTAACACAGCTCAACACCAGTTGACACTTGACTTTGTATTTTTTTTTAATTAATCTTTTTTTTATAGTTTGTAACCCATCCTCAGCACCTGTAGGCTGCACTTTCCCACGCTCCTGTACCAAGCAGAAAAAGTGAAATGAAAATGTATAATTTTTCACTTGACTTGAGTTTCTAATAATAGGAGCAGGGCAAGTTCCTGTTTTTTCACCACAGTTTTAGGCATAATGCCACCGTAGACACGACGCACGCACACACACACACACACACACACACACACGGGTGTGTGACTGTTAAATAAAGAGGTAGTGAAGATTCTCAAACAGAAGCGGCTGAAAAGTCATTTAAAAATGTTAAAAATAATCAATAAACCCTGAGATTTAAAATTAAATACGATGAAATTTACCCATTGAGAAAACATGTCATTCGCAGATACACCTATAGGTGGTGCTACCTTTTTGCCTGAATTGGTTAAGTATATAGACAAGTAAAAAAAGATAAATAGCCTTTATTATATATATAATTTTCCTTATGGTATAGTATATATGTATATAATTATATCATTATTGTATTGTATATTTATGTTATACAATATATTTCATTATATTGTAGATATATACATATTTATTATTATTGTCATCTGTTGATGTTGTACTGTAGTAGTATTTCCTTATTTTCTGTGGTAGTATTCCTGTTACACTACTACTTCTAGTGCTACTACTACTGTAACAATACAAATGTTCTTAATATTATAATCATTGTTATTGTTACTAGTTTAACCGTTTAATACTGAGTTGCTCTCCTGAGGATGTTGCCTAGCAACCAGAATGTCAGGGGTTTGAACCCTCCATCGTTCTGGAACTATGTTCAATGCTCTTTGTGAAGTGTTGGTTTTTTTTTCTGGCAGCTTCTTGTTTGAAGTGGAGTACTTGAAGTGAATGAATGCACTGTGTGAATGTGCTGGTGTGAATAGGTTGATAGAATTTCATGTAGTGCCATCCGAAAGGTCGAGGGTTCAATGCCATGACCACCGACCAAAGAGCTGGACCACAGTGCAGCCATGTGGAGGATGGTTGTAGAAAAATGTTTGGTTTGTGTGCAGACTTGTGTGAGTTTGACGTCGGCTGCAGCAGTGAGTGACCAGACACCGAGTCCTTTTCACACCAGGAGGGTCCTGAAAAAAAACTTGTCCTTACCAGCACATCTTCCTCCTCCTCCTTGTTGCTCCCTGATGAACTCTCCTTCATCCCCTCTGCGGCTCTCTTTCAGTTTATTTGAGGCAGGGTTTTCTCTTCCTCCTTCTCCTTCTCCCCCTCCTCCCTCCCCCTCTCCCTCCCACTCATTGTGGTTGGCCCCTGTGCCCTTGACACAGACTCACATCTATATCCAGCCTCTGTAATTATGTCAGTGTAATGTTTGTATTTATAGGCAGCTGCCACGGCTGCTCTGGCAGCCGCTCTGTCCCAGCTGGAAAGAATCAGAGAGTCTGACGCTGCAGACCAGGCTGGTAGGTCAGAGCAGACCTGGTCTCAACAGGTCCCACAACAGGTCCCTGTGGACCAGATACATGTGGACAGATCACCTGCTGCCACACCTGCACACCACACATCTGGAGCAGGATTATTCTCCAAGATTTCAATTTTTTTTTTACTGTGGCACAAAAACCCTCCCTGTCATCCTGGCATCCCTGGAATGTAGATAGATAGAAAAAAAACTCTGAAAAGATAAAACTCTGAGTCTGGAATGTAGATTGCATTCAAGAATATTATGACATTTCCCCTGTGATCTCTGCAGAAGAGCTGGGTTTTTATATTGTTAGGATGTTTAAACATGAATATGTTGAACAACAGATGTTGAAGATTAACCTCTTAGGTAGGAGGAGGAAGAGGAAGAGGTCCATGGACTCAGTGAGGAGGACAGAGAGATTGTTGGTAGAGATGGAGGCAGATGGGGAAAAGGCTGAGAAAAAGGAAGTAGAAATAAAGATTCAGCTGGAATAGAAATAAATACTGGTCTCTACTCCAGATTCTCTTCCTCCCACAGCCCATAAACATGCAGGATTAGATTAAAAGTTCAGTCAAAGCTGACCTTTGGTGTGAATGTTGGTGTAAATGTGTGGTGGACTAGAACTGTCTATGGTTAAAGTTCTGGCTTGGCTAAACCCCCAATTAGAATACCTTGTGTGTGTGTGAGTGTGTGTGTGTTTGGCTTTAACCAAATAAAACAAATAACACTCAGGATACAAGTAAGGTCATGTTGTTCTTTTAGTTTAATATGTACATTAAAAATAAACTATTTACATTATATATAAAATGTATTTACAAGGCAGTACATTTCTTCAAGACACAAACAAGAAAAGAATACAACAATCTGTCTTATTGCCAAAGACTTTGTTAGCCCTTTGTCGATCAGGATGTGGTTGAGATGGCGAGCATGTTTACCACATCAGAGCCTGACTTCAGAGAATACGGACGGACGGACGGACGAACAGACAGACAGACAGACACCGTGACATTCAGTTCAAGCCTTCAAAGAAGACAGAGGACGAACATAAGGCAGTTTGTCTTCAGTACAAAACATTGTCTTAAAGAAGCTTATTTCATGTGCAGTTTACACTTTTACAATACGACACACAGCGGTGGTTCGATTGTCGTTGGTAGGTGAGGACCAGGGTACACATGAGCTGTGATGATAAAGGCACTAAGGTCAAAGTTCATCCAAAGAGCACTTTTTACATCATTGCTCTTTGTCTGTTTCCAGTTGATTGGGCTGCATGTGCCTGACATGTTGAGTGGAATGTTTTTAACCTCTGTCTGTCGTTTTTACGAACGACAAAAGTAGTACCAGCTACAGAGTCACAAAAATGAACAGGATTGGTCTGTTTCTGTCGTATCTGCTGTGTCTGGTGTCAGAGTGAACATTTAAATAGTCTGACTTTTCTTGAACATGAATATTTTTTAAGGCATTTTGTCGTGATGCTCTTTGGTCCGATTGAAAATAACAATAAAAAACCATAATATTCCTATAAATATACCTGTAAACACATTACAGTGTAGTCATCAGGCTAGTGGCTTCCTTCGTTGTAGTCTAAGGCAGTTCATTCTGCTATGTACCACTAGAGGGCACTGTCTTATATAGGAATTTGCATCTTTATATTTGCATCAAGGAATCGTTTTATAGCTGATACCGGAAGTTAAAGTTCAGTTTTTCGTGGCTTTTTTTTTCCAAGTCCAAGTTGTTGTTTTTTTTCCACTTCCGGGACATTCTTCACATGTGCCTTTTCATGTGCAGGGCCAGGTGGTCAGATCTGGAGAATGCGCGTTCACACAGGTGACACTGGAATGGCCTGTGTCCAGTGTGCTTCCGAAAGTGACGCGTTAGCTCGTCAGAACGCGCAAACTTCCAGCCACAACCTTCCCAGCTGCAGTGGTATGGTTTCTCCCCTGAAACCAAACAAAAATGAGAGTTGTGTTAATATATTGGCATACATTACATCAAGTTAGGTTTGTGAAAGTAAGACAGGTGTGACAACAGGTGTATCAGCGGCAGCGTCTCACCTGTGTGCGTCCTCAGGTGCGCCTTCAGGTGCGAACTTTTCGTGTACGTCTTCCCACAGCCGGTGAAAGTGCACGTATGCGTCGCAGTCCGTTTCCTGGGCCAGGAGCGGCGACCTCTCTTAGGTTTGGAGTCCATCATCTCCAGCGGGGAGGATGGAGGAGTGAGCAGGAGCCGCTGCGCCGCCCCCGGCTGCTGCTGCTGCTGCTGCAGACCCATGCCCGTGTCTTCTGAGAACATGCCGGGGAACTGGTGATGGTGCGGCGCCGCGGGGAACTGGAGCTGTATCCCGGTGTGCGGGTGTGGGAACCCGGGCGGCGCACTGCTGCGGTGCTGCTGCTGCGGGTGGAAGCTCTGCTGGAAGGTGGAGTTGGCACACATCTGCTGCTGATGGCACTCGGAGCTCATCAGGTCGTCGGGACTGAGCGGCGGTGTCATGCTGCCAAGTGCAGCCGCCTGCGGGGAGTTGGCCAAGCGCGGCTGCTGCTCGTAGGACATCATGCACGAAACGTTGCCCTCCTGCTTGATCTTAGTGCAGCTCTGAGGAACCAGACCCATGACGGGTCCGTAAGAGTCCATGGAAACGGGCTCCACTTTGATGGCCTGATGCTCGGGGAATAATAAGTCCTGAGTGCCGTGGAAAGGCGCGGAACTGATGAGGAATCTGCCCTGGATACCGGGAGTGTTCCCGGGGAGGAAACTCGTGTCTACATCGGAGCGGAGCAGCTCTGCCATCAGGCTGTTGTAGGGCGGAGGAGGGCAGTTCATGTCAGGGGCAGAGGAGTAATTGTTCATCCCGCTGTGCTGTTGCTGGTATACGGGCACTCCTGCGTCCTGGAGACGGTAGGACTCTGCTCCAGCCCCCGTCACCGGTGCTCCATCAGCACCGGTTGTGTTTGCCAGAATAAATTCGAGGTCGAGGAACTTATCCAGATCCTCTTCGTCTTTTCTGCCCAGACAGGTGGTGTCCAGGTCAGCGGCAACGCTGCTCATGTTGCCCTTCCACCTCTGGAATGACAGCATAAAGATTTAGAATACAATAAAAGTCAAAAAACAAAACAAAATAAACAAAACATAGAAAAACTGCAAAGTCTAAATTAAATGAAACAACAGAACAATTTCAACAAGTCAAACATTAAATCATCTGTTTATCTAATGTAATTCAAGTACTTTCACAGTAAAGAAGTCAACTTACATGTTCCCAGCATTTCTCCTTTTGGTTGGAAAACGTAGATATTGATGGTAAAATGGTCCCACTCAAGGCCATTTCCATTCCTTGTTTTAACTCAGATCAGTAAAAAAAAGTTCCTTAAAATAACTAAAGGAAAAAAATATATTTTTTCTTCAGTTTAGAATCAAACACAAGCGAAGTGTCCAGAGAAGCTGCTCTTCTTCTGTCGTTTGCTCTCATTCATGAGCAGTCGTCGGTCTGGAGCAGAGCTGCTGCTGTTGTTCTTCTAAATATTCTTCTGTGCTCAGCGCAGACCAATGCCAGGCCAGAGGAAGGAAGCGCGTCCAGGATGAGGACGCTGCGCACGGACCAGACCAAGCTCCCCCTCCTAAATTTAGCCCGGGTATAAAAGACGTTTTTCCCTGCGAGTCAGACTCGGAGAGGTGAAGGAGTGAGAGAGAGAGAGAGCTGAGGAGTCAGTGGAGGAGAACTGCTGCGGAATGCTGCCTGAGCTCTGCTGCGGGCAGCTACTTAAACCTGGAGGAGGGAGAAGGAGAACCCGCCCCCAAAGAGTGAGAAAGATAGAGAGAGAGGGAGGGAGAGAGAGAGAGCGAGATAGTGTCACTAAAAGACATGAAGAGCAGATTAACACGTTGTGGTATTTGTGCTGCGGTGCCATGCGCCTTTACGCATCTGTGCGCTTTTACGCACAGCAATAACTCCACTTTCAGTCAGTTTCAGTTAAAATGTCTGGTTTGTAAATGTATGTTCAGAGTTAGAACCACAGTCCCGGCCAATCCAAAGTCATGGAAACTCACTGCCAACCTGCGTGTGTACAGTTTTTTCTGTGCGTCCCGAGTACAGTATTTTCAGTTTCCTGCTGCGCTAAATTCGACCACTAGGAGACACTATGCACAACTTCTTTTCCGTTAGACCGCCTGCACTGTGTGTGTGTGTGTGAGTGTGAGTGTGAGAGAGATCCAGAGCTTTATTCTTGTGTCGGTTTCACACGTGTCTGTGTGTGTGTTTAGCCGACTGTTGCTGTTGCACCAAGTCTGAACATGACACGATGATCCACCACCGTCACCATAACTCCACTCATATAGACAGAATAACTGACTTTACAACTTTAGTCCTTATATTTTGTGTAGAGTTCTTAGAAACTGCCTCCCTGCGGCTCAGAGTTTTTCTTCTCTGTTAAAACAGAAGTTGTTTCTGACTTTATACACCGACTGAATTTACAAAATAATACAAAGGAGGAGGGGGGGGGGGGCATAAGTCAAGTGACATTTTCCATCGCCGTTATGTTACTTTAATTAATGATACTATTTTAGTCCATTTTTAGCTGTTTTCAATATTCAACCCAAGACAAACTTTTTACTCCTGCACCATATTTATGATTGGATTAAAGCTTCTTCTTTTCTTCTTTTTCATGTGACACACATGCTCACACAGACACACTGAACTGGACTTCTTTGAATCTTGGTTGAGGGAGATTGATATCCAGTTGCTCTACCTGTTTGTCGTTGGATCCTCTCCATGGTAAATAATTGCAGCTTTACAAACACCACAGCAGGTTGAAGGACGTACCTGGGTGTGACACATCACACACTGTACTGTAACACATGTGAAGATGCTAATTAGAGATTGAATGGCTGAATAGAATTGTCATTTTATTTCCCCCACTTGAGCTGCGGCAGCTGCATTCCATTATTGTTTGTCACAGGTGATGTGAAATGTGTGGACACATCATGTCTGCAGTGTCACACCAGCTGCGTCTAATGAGAAGAGTCTGAAGGATTGATGGAGTTTTGTCGGTTAGGTAATTAGCCTAAAGATAACCTCAAGTTGAACCAATATCAGCCAATTGTCTTTGGTTGTTATTAACGTTTATCGTGTGAGTCTTTCTCATGGGGCCAGTTCACTTTTATTGATCCGATTTTATATGGAAAAAACTTTGCTTTAAATGAGCTTCACCTGAAAGATTAGCAAATATCACTGGTTTGTGGCTACACTGAATGCTAACATCACTAGAAGTGGCTGAAATATTGAGATATTTGGTTTCACAATACTGTATCAGTATCCTCCATCAGTGTATTGATTTTTTACTAACTATTCCCAGTCAAATATTCCTGGTGTTGGTTCATTTTATTTTTCTTTTCCAAATGTAGATCCCTCTGTTCCAGTGTTAGTGACCTGATGTGAACAGCGTTGTGTCTGTACTGTGACGGTTTGACTACAGTTACATTGTTGAAAAAAACCGCAAAACTCAACATATAGTCATCCCTGTAGTATTGCAGCATAACACAATATGTCATATTGTTTCCCTGTATTGTGATACGTATCGTATCACCAGATTCTTGCCAATACACAGCCCTAAACATTACACACACACACACCACAGCAGCAGCGTTGTCACGTGGAGACACCTAGTGGCTTCAAACCCGTGGCTGGAGGAACCCACGTGGTTGAGTGAACAGTGTCACAGTCGTATGTTGATGTATCCGCAGCTATCCTTCGCTGGTGTCTCAGTGTGATCAGGATACCGTCTGCACACACAGTCACGGCTCTTGAGTGGAACATGATTCAGACTTTACTTCGTCACTCTACAGCCGACTGCAGACAGACGTCTCCTCAGCGTCTCCATGTGGGAATACTCCCCATCACTTTGGTCACATTTTTCTGGAGAAAAATACCCAGACACATGCCCATGTTTCACATTTCAGAATCCTTTGCTCAGCTGATGATGTTGTCTGACCGCGTTTGCAAAGATACACATCAACGATTACTTCATTAGTCCTGAGGGAGACCTGGGGATTTTAGTAAAAATGCAGTGGTTCTCAAACTCTGGTACGTCCAAATATGGCAGATAAATATTGACTCGAACGACAAAAACAGATCTGTTCAGTTTCTTCTTCTCTTCCGCTCGGTCGTGTTGAGACCTGCTTCATTTTTCCAAATCTCTACTGCCATCAGAGATGCCTCGCAGGGTGTCTGTAATTGCATCATTTCCCAACATGCACTTCTGATCCCAACCGAACATCCCAGTCAAATTCCCAGTCGGAGCCAGTCCTCTCCTTCTCCACTGTCCCTCAGATAACTGTAGCGCTCAGACATACTCCAGCAGTTGCTCAGCAGATGAAACGCTGCAGCGCGGCCAACTCTGGCACGGCGTTCTCCACTGTGAGTGTTTGACTTCTTCCTCAGTTTCCTCCTCCGTGTCTCATCTTTCCTCCAATAACTCATCCGCTTTCATCTGCAGCTTGCTCTTCTGTCTTCCCCTCTTCCAAACACACTGATTCATGGCTCAGTAATGGTCCCAGTGTGAGCTGGGGGTCCCCGTCTTCACGCTGACGCCGCAGCAGAGCAGCGTTTATTCTCCGTTACTATGTTCAAGTGGACCTGATCCTTTAGTTGAGCCGTGGACAGTGGACAGGTGCCGTTTGCTGTTTGTGCTCCTCAGCCGGTGATGAAAGCTCCTTCTCCACAGGAGAAAACTAACAAACCTAACACAGAACCCCGAGCGTCCATTAGTGTCTGTGAAAACGTGTGAATTTTGGCCTGTTGGACGATGGTGAAGCAGCGAATCCTCCTGTGGACCTGGACTCTGATTCCTGGCTGCCTGACTGGATGTTTGACTGATTGTTTGTCTCAAACGTCTCCACTCATGAGCTCATCACACTGACATCACACCACAACAAGGCTGCTGTTGGCAAGAATCCGGGGCAACGATACAATATGTTGTGATATGCTGCAATTTGATAGGCACGATGATTTATACTTACATACTTTTTAAAACAATTTAATATGAAACTGTTTCATCTATCTGTCTATCCATCCATTTTCATGCTAATTGTAAATAATGTTGTAGAATATCGAGACAGTATTGTGAAACGAAATAGTTAGTGTATCAATATTTTCTTAGGCTGCACCTCCATAACATTTAAGCTATTCCAAACCTGAATCAGTCTGAGGTTTCCAAGATAAGAAACCTCAGACATAGGACATTTCCCAAACCAGTTCCTCCCTGTTACTTTTAGACTTAACTCGACCAAAACAGTCCAGGAATCAACTACAGTAATATCTCTGGGGAATCTGTGACCCCTAGTATCTGCTACTAGGTACTGCAATAACAATTTTGTATATTTTACACATATTTTGGGTCATGCTTAAAACAACCCATCGACCCAGTTTAGTTCTGTTGCCACCTTTTGAGAAACACTGAGGTCTGTCTTCTCACCATCCATTATCTGGATGACAGTAGCTCTCAGCAGGTGATAGGAAGAAGAGCCGTGATGCTTAGCCGTCGTCTGAGTTTGTTTTATTTTTACCTGATTGTGATAATGAATTCAGTGAAGCTGCAGTCGTGTCTCTGCCGCCCCCTGCTTCAGTGACATGAGACACAACAGGAGAACGTCGGCTTCAAACACAGACGTCATCTGTCGCCAGGTCAACACTCAACGAAGAAGAACTTTACACATTTATTTTTACACCAGTTCCTATCGTTCTGAAGAAGACTTGCCATTTGGAAGTTGTTGATGAATTTAGAACCGATTCTCCCCGCAGATCCTGGAGAGTATCTTTAAAAATAATCTAGTTAACAGTTTCACTGTAGAAGAAGAGTAACGTGTTGGAATTAATTTAAATTTTTTAAATTTATTTTGAGGAGCTTTTGTTGATAATGTTCTTCTAGAATTGTCTTAGAAAGAGTAGATATACTGTGGTTGTACTTGTTTGTTCCTTCCTGCCTTTATATTTGTGGAATTTGTTGCCTTAGAACAGCAGTTCTTAAAGTGGGGGGCACCTCCCCTCCACGGGGTGTGAAGCCATTGAGTGGGGGATCGTAGTAAAGCCAAGAAATGTAAACTTTATTTATAGTTTTATTTATAATTATTTTTCCTTTTTCCTAATTCTTTAAAGCATTAGATTTGTACCCAACACTAACAGATGGAATGCAGGCCTAAATCCTCACAGAGCCAACCTTGCTTTACTAAGGTCTTCTGTCTTCTCTCCTGACTGATTTATTTTGGGCGTATTTTTTATGCAACATTTTGGCTTTTTGACTCGGGGGCCTCTCCCTGAAGTCTCTTCCTTCCTCCTCCTTTGTTCCTTATTAACCATTATTACAGAGAAACCTGTTTGTGTGGAGTTAGCAGTTTGAAATGTTAGGTTCAATACAGAGTTAACCTGATTCTTGTCACCATAGCAACCTGAGCAGCACAATTAATGCAAGTGCAAGTTAGTATTTATAATTTTTTACAGTGTCAGTGAACTCACCTGAGTGTCGAAAAAAGCTGTCAGTTCAGCAACGTCTGAGGCTGTGTTGTCTTATTGGAAACAGACAGGAGAGGTGGGGCGGGGGCTGGTGGGGGGGGGGCCTTTTACTCACT